TGTGCAAGCTGTTTTGGATGTGATTGTGGTTCTGGCTCTTGTGGAAAAGGTTGTTGAGGTCTCACTGGTATGTGCTCACTGTGGGTTCCCAGAGTCCACGGCCCGGGAAGGAGTCTCGGGGCCTGAGACTCAGGTACTGTGACTTTGGCTGGTGTGGTGTGACTCTTGCTGGATTAGTGTCACTCTGCAACTCACTATGAGGGTCCCGGAGCCCATGACATTGGGGGGGGGGGGCAGGTGTCTTATAGTCTGTGGTTGAGGTAGTGAGACTCTGGCCAAAGTGATTTCCCTCTCTGAATTACGAGGGGGTTCAGGATCCAGCAGCTGAGGATGTGGGGATCTCGGAGACTATGGTTGAAACAATGTGACCTTGTCCAGGGAGGCAAGTCCTCAGTAACTCACCAAGATGTCCAGAGGTAGGTAGCTGGGAGGGGGATGTCGTGGATCCTGCTGAGGGAGCCATGTGCCCTTGGTTGGAGAGGCACACACCTATGGGCATCTCATAGAGGGTCCAGGAGCCGTCTGCAAGGGATGTATGCTCGTGGGGCCCACACACTGGATTGGAGCCATTGTGGTGTGCCACCGGCCCCGTGGAGGGAGAAGTCCCAGATTCTGCTTTGGGGGATGTGTGCCTTTGGTTGAATACACATGTCCAGCTGCTGCTTACAGAGGCGCCCAGGAGCTGTCTGCTGGAGCAGTGGGTTCAGGGGGTTCGTGTGCTGGAGCGGCGCTACCGTGGGGACTGGATGCCAGTGGCCAGGGTTGTGCCTTGCAGCGGTTCAGAGAAGCACCTAGGGGCCGCCTGCTGGGGCAGCGGACTCAGGGGGCTTGTGCAGTGGATCAGTGCAACTGCAGTGACTGGAGGTCAGCAGTCGAGGAGGGGGAAGTCTGTGTTTCTGCTCTTGGGGCCTTGCGCTCTTGGTTGGATATGAGTGCACCTAGTAGAAGCTCACAGAGGCACCCGGGAGTCGCCTGCTGGGGCAGTTGCTTCAGGGGGCCTTCGTGCTGAAACCACATGATTGCGGTGTCTTTGGGTAGGCAGCCAGGAAGGGGGAAATCCGAATTTCTACTGCCAGGTCTGTGTGCTCTTGTTTGGATACAAGTGCGCCCAGCAAGGACTCAAGGAGGCACTCAGGAGCCGCCTATAGGGGCAGAGGGCTCAGTAGGCTTGTGTGCTGGAAAGGCACAACTGTGGTGTCTGGAGTTCAGCAGCCAGGGAAGGAGAAGTCCCAATTTTTGCTGCCTTGTGTCCTTGGTTGAAATTGCGCGTGCCCAGCGGGGGCTCACAAGGCACCCAGGAGCCGCCTGTTGGGGTGGTGGGGCTCAGGAGGCCTGCGTACTGGAAAGGTGTGACTGCGGTGTCCAGCAGTTGGCAGCTGTGGAGAAGGAAGACTCAGTTTTTGCTGCCGGGGCCTTGCGCCCTTGGTTGGATTTGTGCATGCCCAGTGGTTGCTCACAGAGGCACCCGGGAGCCGTTTGCCAGGGCGGCGTACTCAGAGGGGCCCTTGCGCTGAAGCCGCATGACTGCGGCGTCTGTGTACAGGCAGGAAGGAAAGTGGAAGACCAAATTTATGTTGCCGGGCCTGAGCACGCCCACTGGGGGCTCAGAGAGGCACCCAAGAGCTGCCATTGGGGTGGTGGGCTCTGGAGGCCTGCACTCTGGAAAGGCACAACTGTGGTGTCCGGAGGTCAGCGGCTGTGGAGTGGGAAGACTCAGATTTTGCTGCCGGGGCCTTGCATCTTTGGTTGGATTCGCACACACTCAGCTGCGGCTCACAGAGGCATCCAGGGGCCATTTGCCAGGGCGGTGCACTTAGAGGGTACCTTGTGCTGAAGCCACATGACCGAGGTGTCTGTAGGCAGGCAGCCAGGAGGGTGGGAAGTCCGAATTTCTACTGCTGGGGCCGTACACTCTTGTTTGGATATGAACGCACCCAGCAGGGGCTCACAGAGGCACTCAGGAGCCACCTTTGGGGCGATGGGCTCAGGAGGCCTGCACGCTGTGTCTGGAGGTCGGCAGCTGTGGATTGGGCAGACTCAGTTTTTGCTGCTGGGGACTTGCATCCTTGGTTGGATTCGTGCATGCCCAGTGGTGGCCCACAGAGGCACTGGGGGCCCTTTGCCAGGGCGGCACACTCACGCACTGATAAGAGCGCACCCAGTGGGGGGCTCACAGCGGCACCCAAGAGTACCTTGTGGGGTGGTGGGCTCAGGAAGCTGCATGCTGGGAAGGTGCAATTGAGGTGTCCGGAGGTCAGCAGCCAGGGAAGGGGAAGTCGCACTTACTGCTGCAGGAGCCGTGCAGCCTCGGAGGTGGATGTCCTAGGGTCTGCAGGTCTGCGGGCGGGACAGCAGGATTTTGGCTGGAGTGGCTGTAAGGTCACCGGCAGTGTCCAACGCCAATCTGGGTGGTGGTGCTAATGAGTTCCTCGGTGTTTTTATTATTTTCCAGCTTTATTGAGGTATGATTAACAAACACTGTATGTATTTAGGTTGTACAATGTGTTTTTAAAAAAAAATTTTTTTATTGATTTCACAGAAGAAGGGAGAGGAAGAGAGAGATAGAAACATGAATGATGAGAGAGAATCATTGACTGGCTGCTTTCTGCACACCCCCTACTGGGGATCGAGCCTGTAACCCAGGCATGTGCCCTGACTGGAATCAAACTTGGGACTGTTCATTCGGCAGGCCGATGCTCTTTCCACTGAGCCAAACCAGCTAGGGCCACAATATGATTTTTTAAAGGTATAAATCATGATGGTATAATATAGGTATGCAGTATAAAATGATTACCACAATCAACTTAGTTAAAACTTCCATAGCTTGCCCTAGCCAGCTTGGCTCAGTGGATAAAGCATCAGCCTGCGGACTGAAGGGTCCCAGGTTCGAGTCCGGCCAAGGACACATGCCCGGGTTGTGGGCTCGATCCCCAGTAGGGGGTGTGCAGGAGGCAGCTGATCAATGATTCTCTCTCATCATTGATGTTTCTATCTCTCTCCTTCTCCCTTCCTCTCTGAAATCAATAAGGAAATATATTTTTTTAAAAAACTTCCATAGCTTACCTTTTCTTTTCTTATGTCGAGAACACAAGATCTACCATCTTAGCCAATTCAAGTATACAGTACCATATTATTAATTACTAATGGCCCAGTGCATGGATTTGTGCACATTGAAAGGAAATTAATTAGAAGAAATATTTTAACATCGCTATTCACCCTTTCTCTATAATAGAAGTGTCAACCAAATTCACGATTGACAATGACAGAACGAAACACATGCTTGCAATTGGCGCCAGCAAGAGCTTTATATGTATCGTGCATGTGCGAGTCAACTTAGCCTTTTATAGATATAGAGTAAACTTGCTTAATTAAACCTGCTTTCTGATTTAGCTAAACTTTTTCCAGCCCAGTGAAGAGCCCCAACTTCTCTTTAAGGTAATTGTCAGCAACACAGCAGTAAATATCAACACGAAGCAGATTATTATTGTAAATCTCGCAGGGAGAAAAAAGGGTGAAATATTTAACTGCAGCAGTGTTTGACTATATTCTGCGCAATGAGAAAACCTGAAGTCATTTTCAAGGTCCACCATTTCTTACTTCTTTTCAGTTGGGTCAAGTTTCTAAACTTTCTAAATCGCCGTTTTCCGGTTAACGAAAAGAAAATAGGATTCCATCGAGTTCCCTATCTACCTACTCAAGGATTTCTATGAGGATCAAATGAGATGAGGCATGTGAAAACGCTTCGCAAACATTTGGTTAAAGTGTAAAATGTTTGCACTTGGCTATAAAGCAAGTCGTGTTCCTGGGCTGAAGAAACTCCAAGGAGGCTAGTCGTTGTTAGGGAGAGGAAGCCAGGTGTTGCTACGTGACATCATTACCAGGTGCCCACAGAGACCGTTTCCTGGCTGGGCTGGGCTGGGCTGGGCTGGGCTTGGCTGTGCGCTGCATTTTGTGCCATTGCAGCGTCAGTTGCAATTTGGTGGGGTGTCACTCTGAGGTGGTGGCGGGGCCTGTGTCCCACTTGGGGGAAGCCGAATGTTGCTTTGTTGGTGCCAGGTCCGCAGTGCCGTTTCTCTGTAAATGGCCAGTGTGCATCATGGCAGCTCCTGCATTGAGCGTCTGCCCCTGGGTGGTCAGTGCATGTCATAGTGACCAGTTGGATGATGGGAGGGACACTTAATCATATTAGCCGTTCATATATATAGATAATACCATACTGTACATTACAGATATAAAATTTATTCATCTTATAACTGAAAGTTTGTATCCTTTGCATTGTTTTTTATTTTTTAGAGAGAGTGGAAGGGAGGGCAGGAGGGGATAGAGAGAGAGAGAGAGAGAAACATCGATGTGAGAGAGACACATCACTTGGTTGCCTCCGCACACACTCCAACCTGGCTGGGGATGGAATCTGCAACCCAGGAATCGAACCCATGACCCTTCAGTGCTGGAGCTGATGCTCTAACCACTGAGAACATTTACCAGAGAGGTTTGTACCCTTTGACCAAAATCTTCCCATTTCTCCCAGCCATTCTAGTCTTTGGTTCTATGAATTCAACTTTTTAAGATTCCACATATTCTAGTAAGTAGGTCATACAGTTTTTCTGTGTCTGGATTGCTTCACTTAGCATAATACCATTTAAATAGTACCTGTTTCTGCTAGAATTATGAGGATATAATAAAAAGTTCCTTTTGCCCTGACTGGTTTGGCTCAGTGGATAGAGCGTCGGCCTGCAGACTCAAGGGTCCCAGGTTCGATTCTGGTCAAGGGCATGTACCTTGGTTGTGGGCACATCCCCAGTGGGGAGTGTGCAGGAGGCAGTTGATCTTTGTTTCTCTCTCATCGATGTTTCTAACTCTCTATCTCTCTCCCTTCCTCTCTGTAAAAAATGAATAATAATAAAAAATATATATATATATATATATATATATATATATATATATATATATATAAAAGTTCCTTTTTTCTAGTAAACATTATAGTGCCCTTTTGTTTTTAGGGGGTTGCTTTTACCCAAAGTAGTTGAAGATCGTGGTGTGAAAAGAACAGACATTGGAAATCTTGGGAGTGGAATATATTTCAGCAATTCACTCAGGTTAGTATTATTGTATCCTTAATCATGTTACTCATACCCATTACCAAGGAATCATTGCTGAATGCTTGCTCTATGTTTTCCTCTGTCTTTCCCTAGTGAGGGATTTCTCACCCAGAAATGGGTAACTCATTTATTTATCAAACTAAAAAGTTTCTGCCTAGTAAGAGAAACTGCCAACAAAACAAAAAGGCAACCAACCAAATGGTAGAAGATATTTGCAAACAACAGTTCTGACAAGAGGTTAATCCTATATAATAAAAGCGTAACATACAAATCAACCAAACAGTGGAACGACCAGTCGCAATGACGCACACTGACCACCAGTGGGCAGACGCTTAATGCAGGAGCTGCCCCCTGGTGGTCAGTGCATTCCCACACGGGGAGCACTGCTCAGCCAGAAGTCCAGAAGCAGGGCTCATGGCTGGCGAGCGCAGCGGCGGCAGTGGAAGCCTCTCCCGCCTCTACGGCAGCACTAAGGATGTCCAACTGCTGCGGGGAGCGGGCCTAAGCCATCAGTTGGACATCCCCTGAGGGCTCCCAGACTGTGAAAGGGCACAGGCCGGGCTGAGGGACCCCCTGAGTGCACGAATCTCGTGCATTGGGCCACTAGTATTTAATATATAGAAAGAACACATACAACTCAACAACCCCCCAAAAAACAAAACAGTCCAATTAGAAATTGGGCAGAGGACCTGAACAGACATTTCTCCCAAAAAGACATACAGATAGCCAAAAAATATATGAAAAGATGCTCAACCTCACTAGATATTAGAGAAATGCAAATCAAAACTACAATGAGATACCACCTCACACCTGTTAAAATAGCTATTATTAGCAAGACAAGTAATAACAAGTGTTGGAGAGGTTGTGGATAAAAGGGCACCCTTATTCACTGCTGGTGGGAATGTAAACTGGTACAGCCACTATGGAAAACAGTATTGAGGTTCTTCAACAAATTAAGAATAGTTACCATATGACCCTCACCACTCTTCTGGGTATCTACCTGAAAAATTTGAAAACATTTATTCGCAAACATATATACACCACGATGGCAGCATTATTCATGGTGGCCAAGATGTGGAAACAATCAGTGGTCGCCAACCTTTGGGACCTCATGGAGCACTGATTGATGACCGTTGCCTTAGATAGATGATTGGATAAATAAGATGTGGTACATATATACAATTGAATACTACTCAGCCATTATAAGGGATGAACAACATGGGTGTTTCTGTTGACTATATTTTATATGCAAACATGTCCCGTTTGCAACAACATGGGTGATCTTGAGAATATGAGAATATCATAGTAAGTGAAATTGGTCAGATAGAAAAAGTCAAGAACCATATCATTTCACTCATATGTGGGCTATACAACTGAAAACAGCAAATGAACAAACATGACAAACAAACAAAAACTCATAGACTCAGACAATAGTATAGTGGTTACCAGAGGGAAAGCAGGGTGGGATGGGAGGAAGTAGAAGAGGGTAAAGGGAGGATAAATGGTGGTGGAAGGAGACTTGACTTGGGGTGGTAAACACAATATACAGATGATGTATCATAGAATTGTACACCTGAAACCTGTATAATTTTATTAACTGCTAAATTCAATTTTAAAAATTCATGAAAACTTAAAAAAATAAGAAAGAAGCAGGTCACTAAAAGCAACCAGTTTTCTCAGTATACTGTAGAAGCATGTCTTTTGCGGTGGATAGGCAGGAAAATTACATTTGAAATCATCTTAGTGATTTTACTACCCTAAGAACTTTTACATATATGTACCCACTTAATCCTTAAAAAGCCTCCTGATTGTCCCATTGTTATCATCTTATCACAGGTGAGAACACTGAGGGCCAGTGAGAACATCTTGCCCAGGGTCACACAGCATTTTGTCTGTCTCCAGAGCCAGGAATCTTAACTTCTACAGCACATGATCTCTCTTCTAAAAAATTTATTTTATATGAACTCTATATACCTGGAATGACATTTCATCTTGAATATCCTTGTTAATAGTTAAATCTGTCCTCATAGTAGCCACAATGTGTTGTGTGCCTGCCCTGTGTGAGGCACCAGGCTAAGTGCTTCATATATATTGTTATAAACTCACAACTGGTGTTATCATATCATTTATGGAAAGGAAACAGATTCATGGAGATTGAGTAACTTGCCTAAGGTCACAGAGCTAGTTAAAGATGGAAGCTGGGATAAAGAATAATTATCCAGGATATTTAATTATCTAGGATATATAAAGAGTTTCTACAAATCAATAAGAAAAAGATAAACAACCCAGTAAGCAAATGGGCAAAAGATATGAATAGGAACTTAACAGAAGAGGAAACATGTATGGAAGGTAACATTTGAAAAGATAAGTTTTCAAGAACATGAAAAGTAAACCATAATGCTACCTTTTTTTTACTCTTATCACCTTGACAAAAAAAAATAGTTTAACATCTCGAGGTGGCAGTCTCTAGAACAGGGGTGGGCAAACTTTTTGACTCGAGGACCACAATGGGTTCTTAAACTGGACCGGAGGGCCGGAACAAAAGCATGGATGGAGTGTTTGTGTGAACTAATATAAATTCAAAGTAAACATCATTACATAAAAGGGTACGGTCTTTTTTTTTTTTTTTTTAGTTTTATTCATTTCAAATGGGCCGGATCCGGCCCGCGGGCCATAGTTTGCCCACGGCTGCTCTAGAACAATCTGAACCCTCAAACACTGCTAATAAGGGTATAATTGATAAACCTTTATTTTTTGCATTATCTTGTATAATTGAAGAACAGAGTTGATGGCATGACTCAGGAATTCTATAGTTTGGCCTGTGAACCAGAAAGCAGTGCTTGCCAATCTATAGAATCACAGGGGGGAGTTCCATTGGTGTAAACACTATGGTGCTGATTTTACCCCAGAGTAGTTAAGTCAGAATCCCTAGGGGTGAGACCTGGATATCAATAGTTTTTAAGTTCCTGGATGATTGTAATATGCAGCCTGGGTCAAGAATCACTACCCTAGAAAAACTCTAGGCCAGGAGGCATGTATGGGAGTGGCTAAGATCACTAGTAACAGAATGCTGGGAGTGACGCACATGTCCATTGACAGTGCAATGATTTGATATATTTTTGTGTGGTCCTACATGGAGTCCTGCATGGCACTTTTAACGGGTGACTTAACAGCTACATGTGTCAAATGGATGAGCCTGGGCATATAGCGCAACAAAAATGATCATATGATTCCATATATATGCAAAGTTCAAAAACAAGCAAACTTAACTTTACATTGTTAAGGAACACATACCAATGTGTCAATACTATGAAAGAAAGAAAATGATATGCACAAAATCAAGATAGTGATTAGATCACCCCTGGGTGGCAGGGGAGGTGATACCAACAGAAATATTGATGATATTCTATTTCTTAAACTTGGTGGCAGTTATATGGGTGTCTTATTATAATTATTGAAACTTAACATTTATATTACAAGTGCTCTTTTGTGTATAAAATATTTCAAAGTAAAAATTCTTAGATATTTAAATATTTAAAAAATTTCAATTGGCATTCAGTTGAATCTAACCAAATTGAAGTCCATTGTGACTTTTGACAGAGTGGTTTTGGTGAAGAAGTATAAATAGAGCCAAACGGCAGTGGCTTGAGAAGCGGTCAGCAAACAAGCTGTGAAAACTGGACAGATAATATGCAAAAACAGGAAAGAAACTAGACCACCTTCTTACACCATACATAAGAATAAACTCAAAATGGATTAAAGACTTGAATGTAAGACCTGAAACCATAAAACTCCTAGAAGAAAACACAGGCAATACAATCTCTGACATTTCTCTTAGTAATATTTTTTTCTTATATATCTCCTTGGGCAAGGGAAACAAAATAAAAAATAAAAAAAGGGGACTACATCACACTAAAAAGTTTTGCACAGTAAAGGAACAATCAACAAAATGAAAAAACAACCTTCTGAATGGGTGTCATCAATAAATCAACAAATAAGTGTTGGTTGAGGATATGGAGAAAAGGGAACCCTCGTGTACTGTTGGTGGGAATGCAGGTTGGTGGAGCTACTATGGGCAACAGTATGATGATTCCTGAAAAAAATTAAAAATGGCCTTGGCCGGTTTGGCTCAGTAGATAGAGCATCAACCTACGGACTGAAGGGTCCCAGGTTAGATTCCCGTCAAGGGTACATACCCAGGTTGTGGGTTTGATCCGCAGTAGGCTGTGTGCAGGAGGCAGCCAATAAATCTCTCTCATCATTGATATTTCTTTCTCTCTCTCCCTCTCCCTTCCTTTCTGAAATCAATAAAAAATATTTTTTAAAAAATTAAAAATGAAATTCCCTTATGTCCTCTTTGGAGAAGTGTTATTCAGGTCCTCTGCCCATTTTTAAAAGATGTTTTTTAATTGATTTTTAGAGAGAGAGAAGGAGAGAGAGATGAGAGAGAGAGAGAGAGAGAGAGAGAGAGAGAGAGAGAACTATTGATCAATTGCCTCCTGCACACCCCCTTCTGGGGATTGAGCCCAAAACTAACCAGCAACCTCTCAGTGCATGGGACAATGCTCAACCAACTGAGCCACACCAGCTAGGGCTCCTCTGACCATTTTTAAATTGAATTTTAAAAATTAAAAAAATAATAAAAGAAATTTGATTCAAAAAATTAATTGATATTCAGTTGAATTTAATGAAGTCCTTCATGACTTTTGACAGAGTGGTTTTGGTGTAGACATATGAACAGAGCCAAACTACAGTGGACTGAGAAATGGTCAGCAAACAAGCCAGTAGAGATGGTCACTGACTGTGTAGGATGGAGAGAAAGGGAGGAGACAGAGATGGGGCAGATGTGGAGAGGGTCTAGAAGACAGTCTAAGTCCAGGTTCCATGGGAAGGAGCTAGCATGTTTGTGGTTACAAGAAAAGAGCCCACAGAAAGGAGAGGTGTATAAGAGGAATGGGGGAATTTTTTTTTGCAAGTCTTAGAGAGGAGAGAACAAATGGTCATTAAGCAATGCTTTTACATATTAGTCTTGATCTTTGAAAAAATAGAGTTATGTCCCCAAATGTCCCAACCTGTGTTCCTCATAGCAAAAATTGCTTTATTAAAGCTGCTGATTCCTGAAGAAAGTTACAAAATCCCTCCTTTGGGTGTCATTGGAAATTTTTGCTTTTCCTTTTGGATTCAGAAGGCTCGTGAGAATATAGCACCTGTCTTTCCTTTTGTTCAGTTCTTAGTAATACTGGTATTTAATGTTCTTTCTGAGCTTTAGTGCAGAGAACCTATTTTTTATTTTTTAATAGTCTTATTTTTTTGTTAATCCTCACCCGAGGATATTTTTTCCATTGATTTTTAGAGAGAGTGGAAGGGAGGGGGAGAGACAGAGAGAGAAATATCGATGTGAGACACATCGATTGGTTGCCTCCCACACGCATCCCAACTGGGGCCGGGGATTGAACCTGCAACCCAGGTATGTGGTCTTGACTGGGAATCGAACCTGTGACCCTTTGGTGTGCGGGTTGATGCTCTAACCACATATAGTTGACACTACATCAAATTTTTAAATAAATAAATGAGTAATACAATTCTAAATGAACTTCCAGAGATATTTCAATAACAGTAAAATGTGGAACGTTCTACCAGTAAAGTCCTTCTGAAAAATCTCCTACGTATGTAATAAAATGTTGTAGCCATGTTACTACAAACTGTAAATTTGAACTTACTTCCTCTCACCTGCAGTACAAGCATTAAGTACTCACACCCAGGAGAGACGGATGGCACTAGGCTCCTGGTCATGTGTGATGTCGCCCTCGGGAAGTGCATGGACTTACACAAGAAAGATTTCTCCTTAACAGAAGCACCACCAGGTTATGACAGTGTCCATGGGGTTCCTGAAACAGCCACTGTCCCCACAGACTTCGAGGTATTTGTATCAAGAAACAAGCAGAGCGGCTCCTGTGTTTACTAAATATGCTTAAGTTTAAATAATTATTGTATATCTAGTGTCTGGCTTCAGTATTTTCATATTCAATAATTAGCAAACATGAAACTCTGCTTTTATGAAAACATGTACCAATAAAGGTTATTTCCCCACCTATTTATGTTTGCTCTAGGATGATGAATTTGTTGTATATAAAACCAGTCAGGTTAAAATGAAATATATTATTAAATTTTGCATACCTGGAGATGAAGTAAAGGACTTTCATCCTTGTAATAATATTGAATTAGAGGAACACACACCTGAGGTTTCAAACGTTGAAGGTAAGACATTGTTCTTTTTTGTGTGTGTGTGACGATCACATTTTATTTTTATTTTTTTAATTAAATCTTTATTGTTCAGATTATTACAGTTGTTCCTCTTTTTTCCCCCCAAAGCTCCCCTCCACCCTGTTCCCACCCCACCCCCTACCATTACCCCCCCCCCACTGTCCTCATCCATAGGTGTACGATTTTTGTCCAGTCTCTTCCTGCACCCCCCACACCCCTTTCCCCCCGAGAATTGTCAGTCCACTCCCTTTCTATGCCCCTGATTCTATTATATTCACCAGTTTATTCTGTTCATCAGCTTTTTATTCACTTGATATTTAGGTTCACTTGTTGATAGATTTGTATTTGTTGCTCATAATTTGTATCTTTACCTTTTTCTTCTTCCTCCTCTTCTTAAAGGATACCTTTCAGCATTTCATATAATACTGGTTTGGTGGTGATGAACTCCTTTAGCTTTTCCTTATCTGTGAAGCTCTTTATCTGACCTTCAATTCTGAATGATAGCTTTGCTGGATAAAGTAGTCTTGGTTGTAGGTTCTTGCTATTCATCACTTTGAATATTCTTGCCACTCCCTTCTGGCCTGCAAAGTTTCTGTGGAGAAATCAGCTGACAGTCGTATGGGTACTCCCTTGTAGGTAACTGACTGTCTTTCTCTTGCTGCTTTTAGGATTCTCTCTTTGTCTTTTGCTCTTGGCATTTTAATTATGATGTGTCTTGGTGTGGTCCTCTTTGGATTCCTTTTGTTTGGTGTTCTCTGCGCTTCCTGGACTTGTAAGTCTATTTCTTTCACCAGGTAGGGGAAGTTTTCTGCCATTATTTCTTCAAATAGGTTTTCAATATCTTGCTCTCTCTCTCTTCTTCTGGCACCCCCATAATTCGGATGTTGGTTCGCTTGAAGTTGTCCCAGAGGCTCCTTACACTATCTTGATATTTTTGGATTCTTTTTTCTTTTTGCTTTTCCGGTTGGGTATTTTTTACTTCTTCGTATTTCAAATCTTTGACTTGATTCTTGCGATCCTCTAGTCTGCTGTTGGATCTCTGTATAATATTCTTTATTTCAGTCAGTGTATGCTTAATTTCCATTTGGTCTTTTTTCATATCCTCGAGGGTCTCACTAGATTTATTGAGGGTCTCACTAAATTTATCAGCGGTTTCTATAAAATTCTTGAAAAACCTTATAACCATGGTTTTGAACTCTATATCCAGTAGTTTGCTTTCCTCCATTTCTGTCATTTGTGACCTCTTTCTTTGTCTCTGTATTTTGGCTGCTTCCCTGTGTTGATAGGGTGGCTTTCTGTGCTAGGTGTCCTATAGGGCCCAGTAGCTCAGCCTCCACAATTACCTGAGGTGGACACTCTTGGTGCACCCCTTTGTGGGCTGTGTGCACAGTCTTGTTGTAGTTAAGCCTTGATTGTAGTTGGTATCACTGGGTGGAATTGACCTCCAGGCCAATTGGCTGTGAGAATCAGCTGTGTCTACAGTGGGAGAACTTCTGTGCTGAAGACACCCTTATGGGGCAAGACTTGCTTCAGTAGGGCTTTGGTGCTCACTGAGTCTGCCCCCTGAGTGTGTCCCTTATGGATCTGAGGAGTTGTAATCTGGATGGTCCCACTCTGACCACTGAGTACAATGGCACTTGGATCTCTAAGGAGGTGCTAATTTAGCCTCTGCCTGAGGCTATCCAGCAGGAGCTATGGAGAGATCTGCAGATTCCTCTTCTTTGTTTGGGATTTGGAGGTGCCGAGATGAGGCCCAGCTGTGAAGCAGTCCAAGCTGCTGTGGGGCCTTGGGCCTTCTTTTGGATGTTCTGGGTCTCTCTGACCCAGCTGCAGTTTGTTAGGTAATTTTAGATTGCAAAGGGCCAGGTCATTCATATGCAAAAGCCTCTGCGCACAGCTTGGGTGGGGCGGGGTCTCAGGGAATCAACAGGGCGGAGCAAACAGCTATGGCAGATCCTCAGTCCTACCCTAAGAGGTCCCGCGTCTCAGTGTCCCAGTAATCGCTGCAAGCACCTTTGAGAGAAAGCTGCCCTCGAGTTTTGTCCGCTGCCAGACAGTCCAGTTTCTCCCCATATGAGTCTGGGTCCCCAGAGACTCGCCCGGAACTGGAGTTCAGAGCAGAAGCGTGTGTCTCCCTCCCGATTGAAAAAGACAACCGTGTCCTCAGTTGCCAGCCCTTTGCACGTGCGTCTCCATACCTCTGCACTTTACTTCCACACCTCCTCTGAGTCTCTGTGCTTTTCTCTTTCCTTCTAGTTGTAGGATTTCCACTCAGCCAGCCTTCCTGTGGTTCTGGATGATGTCCGTTTTGTCTTTTAGTTGTATTTTTGAAGTGGTTGTGCGAGGCAGCAATTTCAGGTGTTTATACCTATGCCGCCATCTTGGTTTTGTCCAAGACACTGTTCTTGAATGCTGTTTCATGTAATATTATAGAACTCAATATTATATTTTCAATGGAGTTAATATTCATGTTTGGTAGCTACTTATAACCTCAGACATAAATGTTCATTTCCTTTTTTATTTTTAAAAATGAAAACCTGGATGCTTGAGAGAGTTTAAAGTGATCTCAAAATTATGCTACTTACTGACACACCGAAGCTGAGCTCATCCACCTCCGGATAGCCACAAACCCACTGATACATTTAAGATGTCAATGTGCAAAAAGTGTAATGGAGGCTGATAGGATAGACAGAAGGTTCAACTTTAGAATCAGGAAGCTTGGGTTCAAGTGTCACTTACTAGACTTTGTGATCTGCGACAAACCATATAACATCTCCAGGCATCAGCTTCTCTCTAAGGGGAATGAGACCAATATCCACACCACAGTGCTGCTGTGAGGATTGCATGGGCTAAGTGAAGGCACCCCCCAAAATTGTAACATGCAGCTTACCTATTAGTAGTACAAATAATAGAGGGGATGAAAGCTTCTTAGGAAATCATAAGCCCAAACTACTATAACATTAATTAGTAGCATTGTAAAAACACACAAACATTTTTAACTGTGATCAAAGTATTTTTTTAATCAGAAATGTATGACTTCAGAGTGGGGAGAAACGGGCCTAGTGAGAATAATCTTACCTGAAAAAAAATCCCAGAGGAAGAGGAAAGAAGCGGAAGGAATGACTCTTACTAGAGACTTCCTGCTGGATTTGAAGTAAAGTAACTATTACCCAGATTGGAAATTAATAAAGGAGAATTATACAATCCATTGATATTAGAAAAAAAATGAAAGCCATGGCACCAAGGGTTTAGACCTCAAGAAAAACTGGGAAAATATACATGAGTTTGAGAGTGAGTGGCAATGTGATGCAGGAAATTGCAAAAGGGCTGCCTTTTACCTATAGCAAAAATTTCAGTTGTACAAAAGATGAATATAATAAACTCTCAATTAATTTTCCTCAAAAACACAGTGTTTTTTGTAAGAAGTAATACATACCAATATTCTATACATGACGAGCCATTTACAAGGAATTGGTTAAAACTGAAAAATAACATCAGTGATGCAGAAAACAAGTATATAAAGTGTTTGGAAAATAGAATTGGGTTACGTATGCAGGTACACCTCACTGAATTGCAGATGTTTCAAAATGAGGAGAAAATTTGTGACTGCAATAAAGTTGAGAAATCTATCAACAATGTTCCTCAGCTTCACCACAAAAGGTTTTCTCAGTATCAAAAACATGTCCAATAAATGTAGGAGGATTTTAAAATGGCACAGGAGAATACACATTAGGGGAAAGTCTTATCAATGTAAGGACTGTAGGAAGACTTTCAGCAAAAGCTCAAACATCAGGAATTATGAGACAGTTCATTCTGGACAGAGACCTTACAAACATCATGAGTGGCAAAGATTTTAATCAGTGCTCATGTTTTACACATCAGAAAATCCACATTGGAGAGATACCATATAAATGTAGCATGTGGCAAATTGTGTAGTGGACATTCAAGTCTTGCAATTCACCAGAGAATTCATGATGGAGTGAAACCTTACAAATGTAATGAGTGTTGTAAGGTGTTTTGTTTTGTTTTTAAATTTAGACTTGTGAGAGATCCATACTGGTGAGAGTCCTTACATAGTAATGAATGCATAAAAGCCTTTGCTGTTAGTTCCATCCTTACTAGACATAAGAGAATCCATGCTGGAGAGAAACCTTTACTCAATTTGTAAGCCTTACTAGGCATCAGAAAATACATACCGGAGAGAAACCACATAAATGTAATTGTGTGGTGAGACTTTTATTGAACTTAAGGCCTTACAGATCATCAGAGAACTCATACATTTATTTCTCATAAATGTAAGAAATGTGATAAGGGTTTTTCCAGACATTCACAACTTTGGAGTCATAAGAGAATCTATATAGGAGAGAAAACTTAAAAATGTGGTGACAGTAGTAAAACCTTTACACAGAGGTCAAATCTTACTCAACATAAGAAAAGCCATACTGGAGAGATACCTCACAAATGTAGTGTATGTGTCAGGGCTTTTACATGATTTGCAAGCCTTACTGAGCACCAGAAAATACATACTAAATAGTAACATTATAGACCTAATTTATGTGACAAGCTTTGAATAAAAGTAAAAGGAGCCCAGCCTGCATGGCTCAGTGGTTGAGTATCGACCTATGAACCAGGAGGTCATGGTTTGATTCCTGGTCAGGACACATGCCTGGGTTGTGGGCTTGCAGGGGTGTGCAGGAGGCAGCTGATCGATAATTCTCTCTCATCATTGATATTTATATCTGTCTCCCTCTCCCTTCCTCTCTGAAATCAATAAAAATATATTTTAAAAAAGTAAAAGGAAACCTTTATACATATTATTGAGGTAAAACATATGCAAGTGTTCAAGCCTTATTGAAAGCCAGAGACTCCATTGTGGAGAGAAAACATGTAAAACTCATGTTTGAGACAAAGCCTATAACCAGGGCTATAATCAAAGCCTATAACCTCACTTGATGAATATACATCTTTGAGAGAAAGCACATAAATGTATGACAATGTTTATCAAACTTTAAGCCTCATAGAATATAATAGAATTCTTACTTGGGAGAAAACTTACAAATGTATTGAGTGTGATCAGCTTTATAAAAAATGTTCAACCTGTGGTCAAGACAGAATTCACATAAGTTTGAAACTATACAAATATTTCAAGACCTTTAGCAATGAACTGGATACACCAAAGAATTCCTACTGGACAGAAACATTACAAATATAATGAAAGTGATATGTTTAAATCCGTTTTCTCAATGAATTACATAAGAAAATTCATATTAATTCTATTACTATTGAAGATTAACCAATATCAGATGTTAAATTCCTGAGAGAATTAAAAGTTAAAATTATTTAAAACTCAAACTCATTAGAATGTTGTCTGTCAATAGAGCAAGAAAATTTGTGGAAAGGTATAATTATTTTGAGTTTATACAATGTTTTTATTCAATTATTTGAGGTTTCTTGGAAGGGTTACATTGTTATTGATGACTTACAGCATGAAGTTTAAAATCTGTTGATGTTATGCTTTTATTTCATACTTTTCAATTTTCAGTAGGATGGCCTCAGGGTTAGGTATGAAAGGACCTACTTCATCAGGTGGGGTTTATTTAGATCCACATAACTGGGTAAAATTATAACACTAATGTTAAGATACAATATGATATAAATTTTAGAGTCTGGGGATTGGCAAAGCATAAATGTAAAACTGTTATCTAAATTATAGTGCATTTTGTGTTCACAGCCTCTTCTCTAAATTTGTTGATATGACTGAGGGTCTCCATTGATGATCATAGGAAAGGATTACTCTACCAGGTTATTAGGAAATAGAGTAGGCCAGGACACTGAAAGAACCAGTTTTTCATGTTAGAATGATGAGTTACTAGGGATGGTATAAATGATAGCAAAAATGGAAGGTGAATAATGTTCTCCCTCCTTTTTGAAAGTTAACAGCTGGTGCATATTGCAGGTTAAGGAAAATGTCTTATGTTTGGAAACAGAAAAAAGATACATTGTTGCCGAAACCGGTTTGGCTCAGTGGATAGAGCGTCGGCCTGCGGACTGAAGGGTCCCGGGTTCGATTCCGGTCAAGGGCATGTGCCTGGGTTGCGGGCGCATCCCCAGTGGGAGATGTGCAGGAGGCAGCTGGTCGATGTTTCTCTCTCATCGATGTTTCTGACTCTCTATCTCTCTCCCTTCCTCTCTGTAAAAAATCAATAAAATAAAATAAAATTAAAAAAAAGATACATTGTAGGAAACAGTTTACTAAAAAGAACCAGAATAGAATGTGCTTGTGAAGGATTCAGAATTAGCCACTTAAAATGCAGTTTAATGCCCTGGCCAGTTGCTCAGTGGTTAGAGTGCTGGCCTGCCAACTGAAGGGTTGCAGGTTTGATTCCCAGTTAGGGGCACTTACCTTGATTGCAGGCTCAATCCCCAGCATGGTCGGGGCACATGCAGGAGGCAACCTATCGATTGTGTCTCTCTCACATAGATGTTTCTCTCTGTGTGTCTCTCCCCCTCCCTTCCACTCTCTCTAAAAATCAATGGAAAAATATCCTTGGGTGAGGGTTAAAAACAAACAGAAAAAATAATGAGTCTGGGAAGAGTATATACCTCTAACCATATTTGTATTTTTTGTACTACCTGATATAGTACATGAACATTTTTTCAATATACTGTATTAGGAGTTCGATTTAGTCTTCCTTGTATCAAAAGTCTAGGGAATCTCATATTTCTCACACTTTTGTAGAACAAAAGTAATAGTGACTGACTAGTTCTAAAGTATAAGCCAGGGAGTGCAGCTGTCTAGATTTAGCCTAAGCTACTCTTATTCAGAGTTTCTTAAGACCTTGATGTACTTGTGTGTATGCTTAAACATAAAGGTAAACATATGCCTTTCAAGTAGCGGCATGACTAGGTTTTCAAGACGACCTCTCAACATCTGTAGATTTAAAAGACAGAGTGTCTGTTGACAATGCTGCCCTCATTCTTTTCATTGGCTACTGAAAATCATAAAATACTGTTTGTCCATTTCTCCTGAAGTATCATGTATGAAGGGGAGGAGAAGGATTAAAAATCAAGATAATAAAAATAGAGAGTTCAAGAATGGTTTTAAAAGGTAACATTAATATTTTTAATGTATAGATTACCAGTTACCAGACACCAAACCTTTCAGCAGCATCAAGGCTGGTCTCCAGGACACCTCTGGGAATTCAGTTCCTCTTGAGGACCTGCACATCAAGGGGAAAATAATAGACTTTGTAGCCCAGGTAAGCGCTTCGTGGTTTTATGATACTTAAGCCAAATGCATGTCAATCATAAATGAGCATTGGATTATAGTTGCATGAACTCAACAAAACATGTACATTTTTCAAATTCATTTATTTACTGAGCACCTACTACATGCTGGGGACTGTTCTAGGCTCTGTGCATACAGCAATAAACAGTATGAAAACTCTGCCCTCACAGAGCATACATTGCATTGGGGGACCAGGCAACAAATGTGATCAATAAATAAAATGCATGCCATGTTAAATGGTGGTAAGTGCTAGAGAAAAAATCAAAGCAGGTAGGGATGGGGCTGTACAGGTTAGAAGGATTTCAACTTGGAAGTTGCATGGCCAAGGAAGGCCTCACTGAGATGACATTTAAGCACAGATCTGTAGGAAATGAGGGACTAAAGCCTATGGACTTCTGAGGGGTGCTCATTCCAGGCAGAGGAAGCAGCATGTGCAAAGGTCCTGAGGTAGGAGTGGATCTAATGTAGTCAAGGGACACCAAAGAGTTCCACTGTGGCTGGAGCATAGTGGAAAGGGGAAGCATGGTAGGAAATTGGGTCAGAGAGTTGAGTTGGGGGAAGGCAGCTCACATCAGGACACAGGACATACTATCTTCAACTCTGAGTAAAATGGAAACCTTTCAAAGATGTTTGGCAGAGGATATGATTGAGATCACACTGGCCACCTTGTTGACAATTGACTGAAGAGGACCAGTTAGAGACATCATAGGTCAGATTCTCTGGAAAACAGACACTTGATGGAGATTTGTTTTCAGGAAGCTTGTTGGGAAGTGCTCTCTGGAGCGACATCTGTAAGAGAACATGGGAGGCAGAACCTGGCAGAAGGAGATGTGGACTGTGACACAGGCATACCAGAGTCCTCAGACAGTTTCAGGGGGAGCTCTGAGATGTTCTGAAATGAGGCAAGAGGCTCAGGCCTTATACCGGCCTACAGGGACCAGTCATTGGATGTGGCTGCCCCTTGTGGAGGGGTCATTCTCTTGAGTGAGGCAGTTCATCTTTGGAACAGGACATTGCCTGGGGAGGGACACAGCAAGTAACACTCCCTGCAGCCTTGGTCCTGAAGGGGACGTCTGGGGGGCATATCACAGTGTCAAATGTAGGTGACTATTGAGTAATTCAGTTAAGGATGATGGTGATTTGGGTCAAAATGTTAGTAGTGGGGGTGGTAAGAAATGGTTGGGTCTGGCAAAGGATTAAAGGTAGAACCAATAAGATTTGCTGATGGATATGGAACATGAGAGAAAGACAGAAGTTGAACATGACATTACATGGACATAGTTTGGCCAGATGTCATGGTGGAGCTCTGAAAGTGCTTAATTTTCTAAAATAATTTATTTTCTAAGAGTTGATCTAACCATTGGCTCCTAACACAGAAGATTACATTGAATAACACTAAAGACCTCTTAGGAGAATAAGAACATCTAAGTCCAGTGTTGTGGTATTGCTGTCATTTCAGAAATTTAATGATTGCTTTAACCTGTGAAAATGGGATGTAGTGGGGTAGGCAGAGCATGCTACCCATATGTTTGCATCTATCTGACCTCTACACTGGCCCCACTCTGATCCATACTGAGGATGCTGATGCTCATGATATGATAAAGCACAAATTTGAACTGATTCTAGGGTTATATTTTTTTCCTAAGATGTAAACAACTGATCATTGTTTAGACTTCGGTGCAAGTATTTTACATTTTAACAAGAGTCAAAGCTTTACATGGAAAGATTGACTTCTAACTTTGGGCAGTTGTTTGAAAGAGATTGGGTGGGAAAGAGTGAAAAGATGTTATGGGTGAATTTGAGATGGTAGAAACCTGGTGCCCCATCCCTTCCCTAAGGTAGAACCCTGTCACCAACCTGAATTCCTTCTGGAGTCCAGGTTCTTAACCACTGTGCTGTAATGCAGCTTGGTATGGACTGTAAGAAGCAAAGGATTTGGAGTTTGAAAGGCTTAGCTGTGAATCCTTGCTCATTCCTTTCTAGCACTGTAACCTGGGGGAAGTTACTTAACTTCTTTGTGCCTCAGTTTCGTCATATATAAAATGGAAATAATAATATCTGTCAGTGACTATTAGATACAGGTAGCCAGGGCATTTTTTTTCATATGTAGTAGATGCAAAACAAATAGTGACTATTTTACAAGGAGAGGTGTGTGTCCTCCATTTGTTACTGTGGATTAGACAACTTGTACCATCTGACATTTCAAACCTCATAAGGCTTTTTTCTTAGGGAAGTTTGCCCCAAAATAAACTCATTATGTAGTAGTGGCTTTTTCACTAGTTTGTGATGAGACAGCTGGGCTATAGGATGACCTTGAATCTCCAGGCAGAAGCCCAGCAGCACAGATCTTGTGTACTCAATGGCTCACATATTTGACTCTTTTTGGAATGAGTTCAGTGTTTTTGGTTTAGTTATGTAATGGTTTCGTCTGAAGGAGAAAAATTAAGATGTCAAAAATTTGTACAGTATACTAGTTCTCAGTCTTAGTAAAAATACTTTTGTCAATGTTATCTAAAATTACTTTTTGAATGCCTGATCATACAAAGAAGATATGCATAATAGATTTCATTCAGAGTTGTTCTGCAAATGGTTCCATATGGTTTCATCAAGTTTATGGATGTTTTTTCTTCTTTAGGTCATTGTTTTTCAGACGTACACAAATCAGAGCCCTGTATCCATTGAGGCAAAGTATATTTTTCCTTTGGATGATAAGGCAGCCGTATGTGGTTTCCAAGCGTTCATCAACGAGAAACACATAGTGGGAGAGGTAAGGGGAGAAAATGCACTGTGGCTGCTCTTTGGTTCTAACATCAGTTTTCCATTTACCCAACTCTTCTTTATTGGCATCCCTATCATGTGGGGCTGAGTAGCAGTCTTATAAAACAAAAGTATTCTTTGAAGAACTAAGTACTTATGCAGTTAGCCTCCACTCACAAACCCCTCCTTGATTACCTCATTTCGCTCCTACCTGTCCACTCTTTATTGGTCAGTGCCTTGCAAATTGTTTGCCTGGGCACTTTTTAAAAAGTGTGATTTCATTATCAAAAATTTAAAGAGAAGCACATTAGAAAATTGGTGAAGCCCTTATAGATTTTTGCAAAAACCGATCCTCTGCATCCTGCTATAAAAGTCAAATTGGGAAAACAAACAAACAAACAAATCAATAAATAGTCAAACTGGGCAGTGCCCTCGGTGCCCCTCCCCCATCTGTCTCTTGCTCCAATAGTGTTTGGACAGGACAGACCCAGGGACACCCCTTCTTCCAGCCTCCAAACACCCTCCAACCTCTTTTCCAGTCACCACCTTTGGAAACATTTCAGCCATTCTCGGCCTCTGAAACCAGCCTACACCGTGTTTTGAATTTAACTTCTTATTGCCAAGCAATCATGAGCTCCCAAATTCATCTGAATTAGTCTACTGAGGTGGAAGCTGCTGTCAACTGCCTGGTCAACCTGCATTTGTGGGTCTCTTACACCTACCTCTCTCTGGGCTTCTAGTTCGACTCCAACGATGTGGCTCTGGAGGGCATGGGCCACTTCCTCCAGGAGTTGGCTGAGGAGAAGCCAGAGCACACCAAGCATCTCTTTAAGATCCATAACCAGTGCCTCTACCTCGCCTCTTCCAGGACATGCAGACGCCTTCCCAAGATGAGGGGAATAAAATTCAGGATGCCATGACAGCATGGCCATGGAGAAGAACCAGAACCAGGCCCTTTGCCATGCCCTGGGTTCTATCTGCACAGACCCTCATGTCTGTGACTTCCTGGAGAACCTGGATGAGGAGGTGAAACTCATCAAAAAGATGGGCAGCCATCTGACCAATCTCTGTGGACTGGCTGGCCCCCAGGCTGGGCTGGACATATATCTCTTCTAAAGGCTCACCCTCAAACATGATTAGGAGCCCTTGCAGCCCAGAGAACTTTGAGGGGCCACTCTGCATCTTCCTGGTGTCTGGCTTCTGCCTGAGTGTCTCCATGAAACCACTAAAATCCCTATAACCACCCTGGAGCCCTCTCCCATGCCTTAGACTAAATGGAAATAATAAAGTTTTTTGCAGGAAAAAAAAAAAGTCAAACTCAAGTGAAGGCTATTGTTCTAACTGTAAAGAAAAATTGTAACAAAAGAAGTAACAGTTGATTCATTCTTTTTTTATTGTAAGGATTAGCTCACAGTTGCAGTAGTAACAAACATTTCATTAAATTTAAGATAAGTTCAATTATTATCTTTTTGTTCAACATAAAGTCCTAAACTCTTTTTTTTCACTATTGACTTACATATTTTTATCTCAACTTAAAGAGAATTCTCATTAGTTGGCCTTTTCTGATTCAAACTCTTATTAGATAAAGATGATCATTGCCCTGGTCAGTGGTTAGAGCATTGGTCCATCCACCGAAGGGTCAAAGGTTTGGTTCCCACCCAAAGGCACTTGCCTGGGTTGCAGGTTCGATCCCTGGCCCCGGTCAGGGCACATGTGGGATGCAGCCAATTGATGTGTCTCCCTCACATCTATGTTTCTCTCTCTCTCCTCCTCCTCCTCCTCCTCCACCACCTCCTCCTTCTCCTCCTTCTTCTTCTCCTTCTCTTCCTCCCCTTCCTCCTCCTCCCTCCTCTTTCCCTCTCTTCTTTTCTCCCTCTCTCCCTCCCTTCTACTCTCTCTAAAAATCAATGAAAAATATCCTTGGGTGAGGATTAACAAAACAAACAAAAAAGAATGATCATTGATGATCATTTTATATATTTCCCTTCATCTTAGACAAACACTTAGTTTTCTCTTTTTGCATAGGTTTTAATGATGAAGTTTTCCTTAGTAAAGTCTGAAATCACTATCCATATTATGACTGGTATAAAAATAATCTTTTCCAGATCAAAGAGAAGGAGGCTGCCCACCGAGAATACCGAGAAGCCATCAGTGAAGGCCATGGCGCTTACCTGATGGACCAGGATGCACCTGTAAGGCTGGACATTCATCCATTAGTCTAGCACATTTACTAGAAAGGGAAAAGGAGTTGAAAAATTATTTGAAATATAAAATTCATACTAGAAACTAGGATAATTTAAATTATTTTGGCTCTACATTTTCAGATACTATTAGCAAGGGGAGGTCAAGCTGATCATACCCATTGGGCTTATCTAAATAATGTAACCAAACAAATAAGAGCCATCTCTGTCATTGGGAACTGAGTTTCCCAGAAATGACAACAAAAAGAAAACATTTGAGATACATAATTTTCACCTTCTGATAAAAGAGTGTAATATAGCTCTGGCCAGTGCAGGTCAGTTGGTTGGGTGGCATCCTGTGTACTGTAAGGTTGTGGGTTTGATCCCTGGTCAGGGCACATTCACAAATCAGCTAATGAATGCATAAATAAGTGGAACAACAAATCGATGTTTCTCTTTCTCTTTATCTCTCTCCCTTCCTCTCTTTCTAAAATTAATAATAAATCCTGGTTGGCATAGCTCAGTGGTTGGCTGGGAGGGCACATGCCCAGGTTGGGGTTCTGATCCCCAGGAGGGGCTTGTAGGGGGCAGCCAGTTGATGATTCTCTCTCATCAATGATGTTTCTATCTCTCCCTCTCCCTTCCTCTCTGAAATCAATTAAATATATATTTTTAAAAATAATAATTTTAAAAGTGTGTAATATATTTACGTGTTTCCTAGAACTAAGCTCACCTAGCAATTTATTCTATTTTCATCAAATCATAACCCAGGGAGGCATTTCTGCAGGATCCTGAGATATGTCCAGGTTCTGTTCTTTCTGATTATTTGCTTTCATAGGAATTAAATATGGAGAATCTGGAAGAAGGAACAGCTATCATGTCCACTGGGTTTCTTTTCCTATATATAAAATGTTTTCAATGTGTCTCTGTAGATACTAGATTGCAAGCAGTCAGCTTCTAACTAGTGTCTCTTGAGTAGATATTTAGTTGTTTTTAAAGATAGGCCATAGGTTTCAGGTATCACTTCTGAGTATTGCAGATTGCCATAGTATTGTGAAAATTTGATGTTTAGTTATTAAGATTAAAATAGATTTAAGGAATAAATGATTACTTTTGACATCTAAGATTTCCATTTGCAGAATGGGGAGTAAGCAAGGAAGAGGTAATTGTTAACCAGTTACAGTCCCCTTGCTGAAGTGCATGTATATAAAAAAAGCCTGGCTTCTTTTGACAGACTGCCACTGAACAGTGTGGGGTTATTGTCACAAACGGATTGGTCTGCATGTTTCCTCCTTGATGCTAACATATTTCCCCAGGAATATGACCCACAAAACAAAAAGTTTTCACAAAGGATATTACCTTTGGGTAAAGTCTAGAGAGAACCATTGCTAACCCAAGCCTTTGGGTACCCTAGAATGTATTTTGCCATCCAGTGACTATAATGTTCTCATACTATATTACATTAGTAACATAATAATATATAACATATAAATATTATAAGTTATTATACAGTTTACCCTTCAACAACATGGGTTTGAACTGCACAGGTCCACTTATACATGGGTTTTTTTAGTAAATATATTGAAAAAATTTGAGAGGCTGTGACAATTTGAAAAAACTCACAGGTGAACCATGTAGCCTAGAATCATAGAAAAAAGAAAAGAAAAAGTTAGGTATATCATCCTATATAATAAAGGGGTAATATGCAAATAGACCAAATGGCAGAAAAACCGAACAACCAATCAAAGCGTATATGCTAATGGTATGCTAAGGCTGCTCAACTGCTTGCTATGATGTGCACTGACCACCAGGGGGCAGATAGTTGACTGGTCGACCAGTTGCTATGACATGCACTGACCACCAGGGGGCAGATGCTCTGACCGGTAGGTTAGCTTGCTGCTGGGGTCTGGGCGATTGGGACTGAGCAAGATGGGCTGGACACACTCTGGAGCCCTCCTGCTGTCCCTCCCCAGCCTGATCGTGCACTGGTGGAGTCCCTCAGCCTGGCCTGTGTCCTCTCACAATCCAGGACCCTTTGGAGGATGTCGGAGAGCTGGTTTCAGCCCAATCCCGCAGGCAACTCCCCTTGGGAGGGCACCAGATGCAGGGCTTATGGCTGGCGAGTGCTGCTGCCACAGCGTGAGCCTCTCCCGATTGGGACTGATTGGCTGCGAGCCCGTGGCAGGCACAAGGGGGCCGGGATGAGCGGGAGCGGCAGTTAGGAGCTGCAGGTGGCATTGGACTGCAGGATTGACCCAGAGGGACCCCACCCATGCATGAATTCATGCACCAGGCCTCTAGTGAATGTATAAAATATATGTAGGTAAGGAAGAGAAGTGAGTGAACACCAGGATTTACGGAAGAAGTGACAGCAGGCTAACTCTACTGTTTTGTGCAAATGCCTTCAGGTTTATGATGAGGACTGCCCTTAGCTATAAAGTTGCTTACCCCTGAACCTTGAAGGGAAAAGATAAAAACCAACTGCCAGTTTTTGGTTTCACAACAGGAAAAAAAAGCCTGGATAATGAGGACGCTTTTTCTGGATTAGTTTTATCACTTTGTCCCTGAAGTCGGGGAAGTACCTTGCTTCAGCGACAAAGGGGCTACCTTTTAAAGTCCTTTTGACATTGGACATTGCCCTTGGCCACCCAGAACCCCAAGTGTTCAACAGGTGTCAAAGTGGTCTACTTTCCCCAAACACAAGTCTCTAAGTCATCAGGAGACATAAGTACCTTTAAGGCTCATTACACATGGTCTCTATGGAAAGGATTGTCAATGTTATGGAAGAGAACCCTAATAACCACAACATCACAGAAATCTGGAAGGATTACACCACTGAAAATGCATCATTGTTATGGAAAATGCAGTGAAAGCCATCAAGCCAGAAGCAATAAATGCCTGCTGGAGAAAACCGTGTCCATATGCTGTGTGGGACTTCACAGGATGTACAACAGAGCCATTCAAGGAAATCATGGAAGATTGTGGGCATGGCAAAATAAGGTGGGTGGTGCCCAGCCAGATGGACTCAGTTGGTTGAGTGTTGTCCTATGCACCGAAAGGTTGCCGGTTTGATCCCCAGTTGGGGAGTGTACGGAAGGCAGCCGATAGATGTTTCTCTCTCATATCGATGTTTCTCTCTTCCACTTCCTCTCTCTAAGTAGGGTTCCAATTATTCATTGAGTATTTTTTACTTCTTTTATGACATGGATCCTTCTATGATACAGGCACTGAAACTAAAGCCACAGTAGAAGAAGGATTACAAAAAAAAGTGGGTGGTGAAGGGTCTCAAGATATAGATCTGGAAGAGTTGAATAGCTAATAGACACCACACCAGAGGAATTAACAGAAGATGACTTGATGGAGATGAGTGCTTCGGAACCAGAGCCAGATGATGAGGAAGAAGACGTAGAAGAAGCATTGCCAAAAAACAAAGTGAAATTAGACAGTCTGGCAGAAGGGTTCCAATTATTCATGAGTGCTTTTTTTTTTAATATGTTTTATTGATTTTTTACAGAAAGGAAGGGAAAGGGATAGAGAGTTAGAAACATCAATGAGAGAGAAACATCGATCAGCTGCCTCCTGCACACCCCCTGCTGGGGATATGCCCGCAACCAAGGTACATGCCTTTGACCGGAATCGAACCTGGGACCTTTCAGTCCGCAGGCCGACACTCTATCCACTGAGCCAAACCGGTTAGGGCATCATGAGTGCTTTTGACTTCTTTTATGACATAGATGCTTCTATGATACAGGCACTGAAACTAAAGCAACAGTAGAAGGATTGGTACTGTATGGAAACAATTTTAGTGAAATAAAAAAAAACAGATGACATAAACTTACAATATCAATAAATACTATATAGTACTATATTATATAATTTCTTCTTATGATTTCCTTAACATTTTCTTTTCTATAGCTTACTTTATTGTAAGAATATAGTGTATGATAGGTATAACATGCAAAATAACTGTTTATGTTATCACTAGGGGCCCAGTGCACGAATTCGTGCAACTTGAAAGGAACTGTGGGCCGCCAGGCTGCGGTGGGCACAGGTGTGGGTCTCAGCCCATCCTCTGCACCCTCACCTGGCTCCTCCTGCCAAGGCCCCCAGTCCCCTGTCTGCTGACAGCCTCGCTCCCGCCGCTTCTCCCACATGCTGAAGGCGCCGGCCCCACTTGCACCCGGTGATGGTGCGGAGCGATTGGGGCCAGCACCAGCAGCAGGCGCGAGCAGGGCCAGTGCTATCAGTGGGTGAGAGTGGCAGCTGCTGCCCCAATCACCCCTCAGGAGCAGGGGTAGGTGGAGAAGCCCTCAGGGACGATCGGGACTGGCAGTGCTGCTCACACCAGCTGATGGCGCCAAGATATCGGGACCGGCGCCGGGCAATGGCAGCGGGTGCGAATAGCAGCTCCAGTGCCTGTTGTGGGTGCAAGCAGGTCCAGTGCCAGCAGCAGTTGTGAGCAGCAGCTCCGGCACCAGCAGCAGGTGCAAGTGGGGCCGGTGCCAGCAGCAGGTGCGAGTGCCCAGCGGGACCACGGCGCCCCCGGGAGCAAAGTATTTTCAGTAACCACTAGAGGCTCGCCTGATGACAGCAACTGGCGCCCCACCTTGGTCTGGCACCCCTGCTCACCTGCTCCACCATCCTGCCGTGGCCAATGCCTGACATGTTCTGTGCGTGCCCCCTGGTGGTCAGCACACATCATAGCAACCGGTTGTTCAGTTGTTTCGCCGTTCAGTCTATTTGCATATTAGGGTTTTATTTATATAGATTATTAGAACAGTAGTTAAGTTTTGTGGGAATCAAAAGTTATATATGGATTTCTTTTACTGCATGTGAGTTCAGTGCCTCTAATCTCAACATTGTTTAAGGGTCAACTGTATGTGTATTATTATGTGTTAAATCTATAATAATAAAAGGGTAATATGCTAATTAGACCGGATGTCTTCTAGACATCATTCTGGATGTCCTTCCTGACGAAGCCGGGGCCAGAGGGAAGCCAGCCCGGGTCCCAGGTGCCTGCAGGCAGCCCAATGGAAGCCAGCCTTGGTCCCGGGTGCCTGCCAGCGGCCAGAGGAGGGAAGCCCAGTCCCGGGTGCTGGAGGGAAGCCGGTGCCGGCAGCCAGGGGAAGGAAGGCCTACTCTTGCACGAATTTTCATGCATCGGGCCTCTAGTATGTTATATAAATACAGGGTGGGGAAAAAGTAGGTTTACAGTTGTGAGTACATGAAACAGTTTATTCTTGTATTATTTATTGCTTTAATTTTTATATAAACAACTGTAAATCTACTTCTGCCCCACTCTGTATATATTATTTATTTGTTAGTATATAATAAGTACAATAACAAATATATAATGTATACTTGTTATAAATATATAATATTATATGGGATGTTGTATATAATATTATATGGACAATATAATATAGGAATATACATGATATATTATATATACAGTGTTTCCAAGTATCAGAAGGATATTATTTTATGTGTCTATATGATTTTATAGACTATCTAACTTGTTATAATGGAAGTGACATCTTTCATCCTTTTATATCCTGCGCAGAAGCAGCATTGCAATCCCACATGATTAAGTGTCAGTCTCTCAAATGAACCTCAGGCTTTTATACACTTCCTTTAAGAGCAAATAGTATGAATACTTTCAACAATAGAGATTTTTTTTTAAAAAAGCAAACAGTATGGTGATTACTAGAGAGAAGGGGATGAGGGTGGGTAGAAAAACGTAAAAGAGGTCAAATATATGGTGATGGAAGGAGACTTGAGTTTGTGTGATGAACATACAATGCAGTATTCAGATGATGTATTACAGAATTGTACACCTGAAACCTATGTAATCTATTAACCAGTGTCACCCCAATGAATTTAGTAAAATTTTAAAAAAATGAGCACTATTGAATAATAATCATCTCTTCATTGTTTATCCCCATCCTGCAAGTAGGTATAGTAGGTATCCTTGATGCCAAAATTAATAATCCATCCCTTAAATCTGTCTAATTATTAATGTTATACACTCCTCATCTAAACATGTTACATTTTCATGGCAACATGGTCAAGTAGAATGGAGGATATGGTTGGGAGGTTAAGAGGTTCTCTGTGTATCAGAAAAAAATACATCTAGCCATAAATAGTCATGAGGTTGTCTTTATGCAGTGATTATCGATATTCCATTGAAAGAAAGTGAAATACCTCTCTCTAAAAAAATAAAGTGATAAATTTACTATAGGGGAAAAGAATTATGTGAAGGCCAAACTCAGTGAAAACTGCTCTGGTTCTACAGCCGCTGGTGGAACTGGTATTGGAGGCTGTGGAGGTCAGAGAGGCCTCCATAGTTCTTTCAGGAAGGGCAGCATGGAGGGGGTCCCTGCTCAGAGCCCTGCATGTGGGGCCTCTGGGGTGGAGAGGCCACTGGGTGATGTTCCCTAGTCCAGACAGGTCCTGCTGCCAAGGGGCCTCCTCTCCCTGTGCTCCTTTTAGATGTCACCCTGTCCCACCACTGGGGAGTGGCTTTAAGAATCCCCATTTAGCCCTGGCTGGTTTGGCTCAGTGGATAGAGCATCAGCCTGTGGACTGAAAGGTCCCGGGTTCAATTCCAGTCAAGGACACGTGTCTGGCTTGTGGCTCGATCCCCGGTTGGGGGCGTGCAGGAGGCAGCTGATCAATGACTCTCTCTCATCATTGATGTTTCTATCTCTCTCTCCCTCTCCCTTCCTCTCTGAAATCAATAAATATATATTTTAAAAAAAGAGTCCCCCTTTACACCACCAGTGCTTGGCTTGTAGGCTCTATTCTTGTTTTCTGAGGAAGAATCTGGCAGGTTGAAATTCTAGTAGTTCATGTAATAGGGTTAACTAGCATAGAGTGGATATGCATTTGAGTCACAAGCTAAGTAATGTATTTCTGTCTCAGGATGTCTTTACTGTAAGTGTTGGAAACTTACCCCCCAAGGCTAAGGTTCTTATCAAAATAACCTACATCACGGAACTCAGCATCCAAGGTACTGTGGCCGTCTTCTTCATGCCCGCCACCGTCGCACCCTGGCAACAGGACAAAGCTTTGAACGAAAACACCCAGGTTCGTGTGCTTAAGATAAAATTTAAAGAACCCTTTGTGTGTGTGTGTGTGTGTGTGTGTGATTTATGCATAAGGAATAAAAAAACGCATATAATGCAAAGGATCCATATAATGTTTGTAAAACAAAAAGAATAAAGACAAATATGCGTAATGGGCATATTTTTATTCTGTTTAGTCACTTTAAAAAGTTTGTGTCTATGTTATATGTTCATCGTTAAGAATTCAGAGAAGCCGAAACCGGTTTGGCTCAGTGGATAGAGCGTCGGCCTGCGGACTGAAGGGTCCCGGGTTCGATTCCAATCAAGGGCATGTACCTGGGTTGCGGGCACATCCCCAGTGGGAGATGTGCAGGAGGCAGCTGATCGATGTTTCTCTTTCATCGATGTTTCTAGCTCTCTATCTCTCTCCCTTCCTCTCTGTAAAAATCAATAAAATATATTTAAAAAAAAAAAGAATTCAGAGAAGCCCACGGTATACAAATAAGCCAAAGAGGAAAATGTGTTTTTGTTTTTTTGGTTAATCCTCACCCAAGGATATTTTTCCATTGATTTTGAGAGAGAGTAGAAGAGAGAGGGAAAGTCAGAGAGAAACATCAATGGTGAGATAAACACATTGATTGGTTGCCTCCTGTAGGAGCCCTGACCAGGACCCGGGCCAGGGAGGAGCCTGCAACCAAGTATGTGCCCTTGACTGGAATTGAACCTGGGACCCTTTGGTTCGCAAGCCAACACGCTATCCACTGAGCCAAACAAGCTAGGACAAAGAGGAAAATTCAAACCATCCTTAATTCCATCGCCAGACATAGTAGCCCAAAGCTACTGGTTAACACTTTGGTTTATATCTATTCAAACTTTCTACTCTGTGTGTATTTATAAATTGTGTGTATATGTACATGCGTGTTTGTGTGTATATATAGTTGGAAAGATCATACATTTTCCTGATTATCAGTTACCTTTTAGAACTCGCTGTCATTCCATGAACAAATGGTCAATGTCTCCCTGCTGCAAAGTGAGACCAGGTCTCATTGCTGCTGTAGGTTGTGGCCTTGGTGACATTACATTCAGTTGAGTCTTACTGTAAAACTTGATACTTATACATATGTGTGTGTGTGTGTGTTTAACAGGATACAGTGGAGAAGATTTGTATAAAGGAAATAGGAACACAGCAAAGGTTAGTACCTAAAATATAAAACCTGACAATTAATCATACAATGGGCATTAGTTTTTTTATGGCTTAAATTTTCATTTAAAATTATGTAAAAACAAACACAGGTAGCTGTTTAATATTAAGATATTAGACTAAGACAACTTTCTCTTTGTTTTTGGTAGCTTCTCTCTGAGTATGTCTATTGAGATGCCATATGTGATTGAATTCATTTCTAGTGATACACATGAACTGAAAAAAAAGGTTAGTAAATCTTTGCTTTATTTCTTAAGGGCTCTTATTTTAACACTAGAGGCCCGGTGCACAAAAATTTGTGCACTGGCAGGACGGGGGATGTCCCTCAGCCCCACTTGTGCCCTCTCACAGTCTGGGACCCCTTGGGGGATAACGACCTGCTGGCTTAGGCCCGCTTCCGGGTGGCAGAGGGCAGGCCCAATCCCTGGGTGCCTGCCCCGCAGCCCCTGGTCGGGCTCAGAGCAGGGCTGATTGGGGAGTTGGGGCGCCGCCCCCTGTCACACACAGGGCAGGGCTGATGGGGGGAGGGGGTTGTGGTGCCGCCCCCTGTCACACACAGAGCCTCGGATCAGGGGGTTGGGGCGCTGCCCCCTGTCAGGAACAGAGCAGGGCCAATGGGGGGGGGGGTTGGGGCGCCTCCTGTCACACACAGAGCAGGGCCAATCTGGGGGTTGGGGCGCTGCCCCCTGACACGCTCAGGGCAGGGCCGATCAGGGGTTGGGGTGCCGCCCCCTGTCACCCACAGAGCAGGGCCGATCTGTGGGTTGCGGCCCCACCCCCCTGTCACACTGCTCCAGGGGCCAGGAGGCCTCCTGGCTCCGCTGAACCCGGTGCTGGGAGGTCTCACGGCTCCACTGATCCCAGAGCCCTAAGGCCTCGCGGCTCTGCTGATCCCGGGCGGTGAGGCCTCACAGCTCAGCAGCTTCGTGGCTGTTTGGCTTCGCTCCACCGCTTGGAGCCTGTGTATGCAAATTAACCGCCATCTTTGTTGTCGGTTAATTTGCATATCACCCTGATTAGCCAATGGGAAGCGTAGCAGAGGTACAGTTAATTACCCTTTTTGTCTTTTATTAGATAGGATTAATTTTATGTTATAAAAGAAGACATGCACAAGGTCTAAAAAGTGAAATGATACTAAAGACAGCTTCTTAAAAGCAGCAGCAGTCCCAAGACAGTGAACTACTTTCATATTTTAGCTCTTTCCTGGTGGCCTCCAAAGTTTTAAATAAAATGTTTTTTGCTGCTTGTTCTTGATTCATCTGTTTCAGAAAATTTTTTTTTGACTTCTTGTTATGGTATATGAAAATTTAAGTCCCTTACCTCTGCACTCCCCTCACACCCCACTTTTTCTCTCCCCTTCATTCCTAAAGTTATATTACAATGTTTAGTTAAATCAGGTCAATGTTACATTATTATGACTGTTAAATGATGTTCACTATTGAACCAAGAAATGTATTATGATTATATATTCTTTAGTTTTTACCTTTTTTTTTGCATTATTTTCTTAATTTTTATTTTTATTATTTTTATTATTTTTATTTTTTTTAAATTAAATCTTTATTGTTCAGATTATTACATTTGTTCCTCTTTTTTCCCCCCATAACTCCCCTCCTCCCAGTTCCCACCCCACCCTCCGCCCTCACTCCCCACCCACTGTGTTCATCCATAGGTGTACGATTTTTGTCCAGTCTCTTCCCGCATCTCCCACACCCCTTTCCCCCCCCAAGAATAGTCAGTCCATTCCCTTTCTATGTCCCTGATTCTATTATAATCACCAGTTCATTCTGTTCATCAGATTATTTATTCACTTGATTCTTAGATTCACTTGTTGATAGATGCGTATTTGTTGTTCATAATTTGTATCTTTACCTTTTTCTTCTTCTTCCTCTTCTTAAAGGATACCTTTCAGCATTTCGTATAATACTGGTTTGGTGGTGATGAACTCCTTTAGCTTTTTCTTATCTGTGAAGCTCTTTATCTGACCTTCAATTCTGAATGATAGCTTTGCTGGATAAAGTAATCTTGGCTGTAGGTTCTTGGTATTCATCACTTTGAATATTTCTTGCCACTCCCTTCTGGCCTGCATAGTTTCTGTTGAGAAATCAGCTGACAGTCGTATGGGTACTCCCTTGTAGGTAACAGTTTCTTTCTCTTGCTGCTTTTAAGATTCTCTCTTTGTCTTTTGCTCTTGGCATTTTAATTATGATGTGTCTTGGTGTGGTCCTGTTTGGATTCCTTTTGTTTGGGGTTCTGTGCGCTTCCTGGACTTGTAAGTCTATTTCTTTCACCAAGTAGGGGAAGTTTTCTGCCATTATTTCTTCAAATAGGTTTTCAATGTCTTGCTCTCTCTCATCTTCTGGCACGCCTATAATTCAGATGTTGGTACGCTTGAAGCTGTCCCAGAGGCTCCTTACACTATCTTCTTATTTTTGGATTCCTTTTTCATTTTGCTTTTCCGGTTGGGTGTTTTTTGCTTCTTCGCATTTCAAATCTTTGACTTGATTCTTGCGCTCCTCTGGTCTGCTGTTGGGAGTCTGTATAATATTCTTTATTTCAGTCAGTGTATGCTTAATTTCTAGTTGGTTCTTTATCACAACATCGAGGGTCTCATTAGATTTCTTGAGGATCTCACTATATTTATCGGCGGTCTCACCAGTCTTTTTGAGGGTCTTACTAAGTTTATCGGCGGCTTCTAGACAGTTCTTGAGAGACCTTAAAAGTGTGGTTTTGAACTCTATATCCTTCATTTCTGTCAGTTGTGTCCTGTTTCTTTGTCTCCGCATTTTTTATGCTTTCTTGGTGCACCCCCTTGTGATCTTTGTGCGCAGTCTTGTTGTAGTTAAGCCTTGATTCACCTTTTTTAAAAAAATATATATATATTTTATTGATTTTTTACCAAGAAGAAGGGAGAGGGATAGAGAGTTAGAAACATCGATGAGAGAGATTGATCAGCTGCCTCCTACACGCCCCCTACTGGGGATGTGCCCACAACCAAGGTACATGCCCTTGACCGGAATCGAACCTGGGACCCTTCAGTCCGCAGGCCGACGCTCTATCCACTGACCCAAACCGGTTTGGCTGTTTTTACCTTTTTATGTAGTATTTTCCTGGGGAAAATTGCGTTTTTCATTTGCTTACACGTCTAGGACAATTCTTCACATATGCTAACACATAGATTAAAACTCCTCTTGAATGCTTCAGAGAATCCACTAATTTATGTCCCCTCTGACAGACATCCTGCCTCTTCTCTTCACTCCACCCAGCTTGGCTACTGTGGGGCAGCTGTTATCAGAGGGCCTCCCTTGACTCTTCATTTTTGTAGGGGTTTTATCTTTATCCCCTTTCTTGTTCTGTTCTCTCTATTTGGCAGAGCACAACCTCATTTCCTTCCTGAGTAAGAGGGATGGGCAGCAGTTACTATCTTTCTCTCCTTCTCCCTTCCTCTCTGAAATCAATAAAAATATATTTTTTTAAAAAAGAGAAGAATGGGGGACCCTTTCCCCCTCCCCACGTGGGGAGGGGGTACTTGTTCTTTAATAAATTTTCACCTTTCTATAAAAGAGAGAGAGAGAGAGAGAGAGAGAGAGAGAGAGAGAGAAGGATGGGCAGCAATGTCAGAAGATATCCTTATTCCATGTGCTGCTTTTGGTGAGGTGATTAATCCTGGTTGGAAATCATCTTCTCTTAGAATATTGAAAACATTGTCTTCTAGCTTCTAATGTTACTTTTGAGAAGTTAAATGTTATTTTTATCTCCCGTTCTTTGCCTGTAGTCTGTTATGTTGGGTTTTGTTTTTGTTTTTAATTCTGCAAGAATTTCCGATCTTTTTATCTCTGGTATTCTGAAATTCCACAATAATGTGATATTCATTCATTGTATGTAACTCATGGACTTGAGTTCTGGGAAAATTTTTTATAGTTTTAAAAAGTAAGTTGGTCCTCTCTCTTTCACCATTCTGCAATACCATTCAGTCAGATGTCCCCTGGATTGAGACCCTTATTTTCTTATGTTTTATCTCCTATTGCCCATTTTATTGTCTTTTTGGGTTTTTTTCTGGATGATTTTTCTAAATTCAACTGAAATGTTTATTTTAGTTCTCAAAAATTTTTGTTTGTAGGAGCTCCTCTGTATTTATTTCTCTTTTATAGAATTTTTTGTGTTTCACAGATGCATTATCATCTCTTTCATAAGCAAATGAAAGCATTTATAACTTTTTTTTCCCTTCTATTTTCTGTGTTGTGTCTCCTTGCTTTTAGTTCCTTCTGGCTTTTTGTTTGTTTGGTCTACATATGTCAGGTTAGAGCAGGGGTGGGGAACCTTTTTTCTGCCAAGGGCCATTTGGATGTTTACAACATCATTCGCAGACCGTACAAAATTATCCACTTAAAAATTAGCCTGCTATATTTGGTCAAATATTTAATTAACTCACTCCTGATGCCTTGGCAGGGCCAGACCAAATGAGTTCTCAGGCCTTATATGGCCCATGGACTGGACATTCCCCACCCCTGGGTTAGAGGCTTTTCCTCAAATGTCTGGATGACTTGTCTGTGTTCATCTTTAATTGAGACATGAGAAAGCCAGTTAGATGCTCTGAGGTGAGTGGGATGAGTGTACCAAAGGCCTGCACCAAAGGCCACTGGCAGGTGTTTAGTGGTGAGTATTGTGATGGTGTTTTAGCCATTTCTGTGGTTATTCAGAACACCTCTAGGATGTTTATAAAGTATGACAGGGAGGGCAACTAAGGATCCTATGTTTTGGGATGCTGCCTCTCACTTCAGTGCCATTTGCAGCCCTGTATTCCTATGCTCCATTATGTCTAGGATACCCAAGTCTGGATTCCATTTGGTTGAATTTCTCTGAGTAATAAATCTCTAATTTTCTTTAGTGAGAGAATAGGGTGCTACTTCTTGGTGCCAGCTACTTGATTTCTTAGGGTAGGGAGAGGGCCTGAAGGTTCAACAGTTTAGTACATAGTGTGTTCATGACCGCTGGTTCCTGCAGTCCCTCACCTGTGTGTAAGCTGCCCCAGGTTGCTGCAGGACCACTGAGTCCACTGCTGAGGCCATGCCCTTCCATGTCATGGAAGATGATTTCCAACCCAGGATTAAGTACCTCACCAAGGGATCAAGAGCAGCATGTAGAATAAGTATATTTTCAGATATTGCTGCCCATCACTCTTACTCAGTGGTCGCTTCCTCCACTTTGGCTAGGTCACTTACTATGCCACTATCGATTTTCCATCCTCTTAAATGTATTGACATCGCTTGTCTGCTATTATCTTTGCTCTTGTTCTCAATATCCCTTTTATTGTAGGGAATTTTAGGATTTTGCATTAGGAATGTAGGTAACCACATAGATATAATCCATCCTGAAGAAGTCCTTGGCATCAGATAGCTTTTGCTGTACAACAAACACAAATAAACTTTGTGTTTTAACACCACAAGCATGTGTTATTTCTCATAGTTTGTGGGATGGCTGGGCAGTTCTCTGCTGGGCTGGCTTCCCTGGAACAAGATGGTCTAGAATGGTCTCACACACATACCTGGCCTGGTGTCAGCTGGCGTGATAGCCATGTGTCTCTTGTCATCCAGCAGGTGAGCTCAGGTTCATTTATATAGTAACAGAAGATTTCATAGTAGCAACAAAAGAGGACAGGCTACGTAGCACAAACAACACTTTTCAAGCCTCTGTCTGCCTCATGTATGCTGATATCCCACTGGCCAAAGCAAGTCACATGGCAAGCTCTAGACTCTAGGGCAGAGGAAGAGCTTCTGACAGGAGGAGCTGCAAATCACATTACAAAGGGGCAAGCACACCACAATGGAAAGACTTTGTGACCATTTTATAAGTTACCACATTGCTTTTATGACTTTAAATCTTAACATCTACATTTTTAAAGTGATTTTTAAAATTGTTTATTGATGTTTAGGAAGAGAGGAAAGGAAAGAGAAAGAGAAACATTGATGTGAGAACACAATATCAATTGATTGCCTCCTGCACACTCCCTACAAGGGATCAAGTCTGAAACCTGGGCATGTACCCTTGACCAGGAATCAAGCCTGCAACCTCCTGGTGCATAGGATGACACCCAACCAACTGAGCCACACTGGCCAAGGCTTAAAGTAATTTTATATTGGCCCTGGCTGGGTAGCTCAGTTGGTTAGAGCATCATCCTGATATGCTAAGGTTGTGGATTTGATCTCCGTTCAGGGCACATACAAGAAGCAACTAATGAATGCATAAATAAGTGGAACAACAAATAGATGTTTCTCTTTCTCTCTCTCTCTCTCTCTCTCTCTCTCACTGCCCCCATTTCACTCTCTCTCAAATCAATAAATAAAAATATTTTTAAAAGTTTAAAGGGATTTTATATTTATAAAAATATATTTTTAAAAGAAGATATAATTCTAAGATTTCTGTTGAATTTTTCATTTTGCTATTCTAAGTTATGACCGTCTGATATACTTTCTGTTCTCTCCAGAGAAGTCTAACTGAATTCACAAATCTATCATCTTTGGATCCAGGGTTTGAGATTGTTTCAAGCTTACCTAAATTTGACTATTTATATAAACTTTAGAATATCAGGAGGATAAATGATAAGATAATGGTCACACTTCTAAAACCTACAGTTCATAATTTTAGAATTTGTTATTACATTGTTGATTCTTAGTGGAGTTGTATAACTTGTGCAAGGCTTTGCTACTTGACAGATAAATGCATATTGATACTATGGTATTATTCCATTACTCACTTTGTTGTCATGGCTGTTTGCAGGTTACAGACTGCAAAGCTGTGATTAGCACTGTGGACGGGAGCTCCTTAGACAGCAGTGGATTTTCTCTCCACGTCGGTTTGTCTGATGCATATCTCCCAAGAATGTGGGTTGAAAAACATCCAGAAAAAGAAAGCGAGGTATAGTCCTTTTTACTTAAAACTAGGAAATTATTGAAAAAATATTTCAGAATAAATTATTTAAACTTGTAAATTATTGCTAGTCTTGAAAACTAGCATTACTAAATGAGCTCTCCCTACCCCAAGATTCTGCAACTAAAAATACTGATGATATCAAGCATGACAAACATCTGAGGTTTTGACCAAAACCCCCATGTGGCTTAGTTCCTTGTAAAGATTGTAATTTTTACCTTAATCCCCAACAAAAGGAAAATCTGCCTTCACATATTACACTGATTTGCCTGTATAGTTTTTATAGCTTTTAAACATTGATACTGTAAAAACAAATACAAAATTATTTATGGTCATACATTCATTTTGTATGGCTGAGATGAAGAATCTCTTCTTATTAAAATAAAATTTGAAAGTGACATCAGCAAGATGGTTGGATAAGACGTCCTTGCATGTATTTCCCCATCAAAAATAATTTGGCATCTATCCGCCCACCCATCCTGCCTGTGTGAAAGGCTTGAGATCCAGGTAGGAGATTGTGAAATCCCAGTGCAGTCCCAGACCTGAGAAGAGTCATTTTGCACCCAGGTGGCCCCACCCAGGTAGCTGACTCACTGACCTTGGTCCTAGTTGATGAAATAGAAGAAGCTTCATATCCCTGAGAAACTAGCTATGGCCTGGTTTGGCTTGGACCTGTCATCAGCACCCTCTGCCATGGGACCCAGGGGAAGTCAGGTCCATCTGTGCATCAGGTAATAGGCATATAAGACTTGGTCCCAGCTGTGGACCCTAATGTGGCCAATGAACTGGCTCTAAGCACTATCAGCTATGGGACCCCCTGGAGATAAGGCCCGCCAAACATATAAAAATCATTCATATAATTGGTCAACATATAAAAATTAGTCATATTTCTGTACACTAACATTGAACTTTCTGAAAAAGAAATAAAACAATCTATAGCAGCATCAAAAATAATAAAATACTTAGGAATAAATTTAATCAAGGAGATGGAAGATCTGTACACTAAGAACTATAGACATTGATAAAATAAATTGAAGAAGACACAGATAAATAAAAAGATATCCCATGATGGAACCACAAAACACCATGAATAGCCAGAGAAATCATGAGAAAGAAGAACAAAGCTGGAACTATCACACTTTCTGATTTCACATTATACTACAAAGCTACAATAATTATAAAGACACATAGACCATTGGAACAGAATTGAGAGCCCAGAAGTAAACCCATGCATATACAGTCAATGAATATTTGACAAGGGAGTCAAGAATACTCAATGAAGAAAGGATAGTCTTTTCAATAAATGGCTTTTGGGAAAACTAGGTATCTACATACCTTTTGAAATTGGACCCCTATCACACCATTCATAGAATTAACTCAAAATGGATTGAAGGCTTAAATGTAAGTTCTGAAACTGTATAACTTCTAGAAGGAAACATAGGGGGAAGCTCCTTGACATTGGTCTTACTAACAAGTTTTTGGATGACACCAAAAACACAAGCAACAAAAGCAAAAATAAACAAGTGGAACTACAAAAAAAGTTTCTTCTACACAACAAAAGAAACCATCATCAAAATGAAGAGGCAGCCTATGCAATGGAATAAAATATTTGCAAACTACAGTCAAACCTCAGTTCTCCAATGTCTCTAATCTCAAACAATTCTGTTTCATGGAAAAAATGTCTCAGTTGTTGACCAAAACTTCAGTTTTGGACCTGACAACCCTTTCATACCTGATACCTCAGGATGGCAGAAAGTATCTCTCAGACAACAAACAAAGGAGAGAATGCTTTTGTTGCTGGTGAACTCATTAGCACAATTTTAAAACAGAAAGAGGCCATCAAGTGCGCTAATGTAGCTAAGGGTGTGAAAGTGCTCACAAAACAACAATCACAAGCAATTGAAGAGGTAGAAAAACTGTTGTTGATTTGGATAAATGGAAAGCAGTTAGCTGGTGACAGTATTTCAGAAGCAGTGATGTGTGAAAAAAAACAAGAAAGATTAAAACAAAGAATCACTTGTGGGTCCTGGAACAGATTAATTCCATTTACATTATTTCTAATGGGGGAAAATGATTTGGTTTTTTAACGAATCCGCTTCTTGAACAGATTTCCAGAATGAATTAAGTTCAAGAACCGAGGTTTCACTCTATATATATCATATGAGGGGTTAATATCTAAAATATGTAAGAAACTCATACAACTCAACAGCAAAAACACTAATCTGATTTAAAAATAGGCAAAGGGCCCTGACCAGTTTGGCTCAGTGGATAGACCGTCGGCCGGCAGACTGAAGGGTCCCAGGTTCGATTCCGGTCAGGGGCATGTACCTTGGTTGCGGGCACATTCCCAGTGGGGGGTGTGCAGGAGGCGGCTGATCGATGGTTCTCTCTCATCGATGTTTCTGACTCTCTGTCCCTCTCTCTTCCTCTCTGTAAAAAATCAATAAAATATGTTTTTTAAAAAAAATAGGCGAAGGACTTGAATAGACATTTTCCCAAAGAGGACATACCAATCGCTAATAGGTACATGAAAAAAAATGTACAACATTACCATTCAAAAGGGAAATGCAAATCAAAACCACAAAGAGATATCATCTCACACCTGTTTGAATGGCTATCATCAAAGAGACAAAAGACAACAAGTGTTGGAAAGACAAGTGGAAGAAAAGGGAATTCTTGTGCATTATTGGTAGGAAGGCAAATTGGTGCAGCCACTATGAAAAACAGTTGAGAGGTTCCTAAAAAATTTTAAAATAGCACTACTGTATGAAGCAATCACACTTTGGGACATAGATCCAGAGAAAATAAAATCACTATCTCAAGGAGATAGCTGCACCTCAGTATTCATGGCAGCATTATTCACAATAATCAAGACATGAAAACAATCTAAGTGTCCCTCGACAGATGAATGGATAAAGAAAAAAATGAGATAGATAGTTAGATAGGAATTATTCAACCATAAAAGAGAAGGAAATCCTGCCATTTGCAAAAACATGGATGGACCTTGGGGGTATTATGTTAAATGAAATAAGTCAAATAGAGAAAGACAAATACTATATGATCTCACTTATATATGGAATTGAAAAAAAGTTGAGCTCATAGAAACAGTTGAATGGTGGTTGCCAGGGGCTGGGGGTAGAAATGGGGAGATGTTAGCCAAATGGTACTAACTTCTAGTTATAAGATGAACTAGAGGCCCAGTGCACAAAAATTTGTGCACTCAGGGGGGTCCCTCAGCCCAGCCTGTGCCCTCTCACAGTCTGGGACCCGTCAGGGGCTGTCCACCTGCTGGCTTAGGCCCGGTCCCCAGGGGATCGGGCCTAAGCTGGCAGTCAGACATTCCTCTGGTAGCCCGGGAGTTTTCGGGGGATGTCCACTTGCCAGTGGGGAGCAGGCCTAAGCTGCAGTCGGACATCCTTAGTGCTGCTGAGGAGGCAGGAGAGGCTCCCGCCACCACTGCTGTGCTGGCAGCCGTCAGCCTGGCTTGTGGCTGAGCAGAGCTCCCCCTGTGGGAGCGCACTGACCACCAGGGGGCAGCTCCTGCATTGAGCGTCTGCAACCCTGGTGGTCAGTGTGTGTCATAGTGACCAGTCATTCCCAGTCATTCTGCTGTTAGGGTCAATTTGCATATTACCCTTTTATTATATAGGATAAGTTCTGGGCATCTAATATACAGCATGATAACTATAGTTAACAATACTGAATTATATACTTGAAAGTTGCCAAGAGAATAGATCTTAAATGTTTTCATTACAAAAAATATATATAGTTATATGAGGTAATGGACATGCTAACTTACCTTATTTTGGTGATCATTTCACAATATATATATGTATGAAATCATCACATTATGTATCTTCATTTTGCACAGTATTATATATATCAATTGTATCTCAATAAAGCTAAGGGAAATTTATTTTAATTTTTTAAAATTGCTTTGAGAGAGAAAGAGAGGTGGAGAAGAGAGAGAAAGAGAGAGAGAAACATTGATTTGTTGTTCCACTTATTTATTCATTCATTGGTTGATTCTTGTATGTGCCCCGCCTGACCAGGGATGGAACCTGCAACCTTGACTTATTGTCACGACACTTTAACCAACTGGGCAACCCGGCCAGGGCTAAGAGAAAATTTTTAAAAATTGAAATTTCCATGATAGTGGTTGTACTTTAAGTATTGGTTGATTAATAAAATAAAATATAATTATGTATATTTTAGTAATCACAGTAGTATCTATATTCCTTTTAGAATAGTACATTATATATGTGAGAAAACACGTATTACTTATTCATTCTGCAGACAGTGTTCATACCATATACATTTCTAGATATTAATTATATATTTATTTTTGACCTCTCAGGGGTTTATGGACTATATGTTAGAAACTCCAGTTCTCACATTCTACTTTTTATTTGAACTCCTATTGTTGAATAAATCTTACTCTTTTTGTTTGTATAGTATCATCTTACCTGGCTAAAAATGTTTTCAAATTTTACAAGAAGAACTTTTCCAATAAAAATGACACATGTTTATGCCAAATTCTGCAAACCCTAGCTCTATGTATATCTTGCTTTGTACATTAGAGAGGTGCCTGAAATATTGGTAGCACATAAACTAAATTCTCTTCCAAATGTCACAGCTGAGCATGGTAAACCAATAACCCCTTCAGTCACAGAAATAAGCACAATTTAATTCATCTTTTCTGTAAACATGGGTTTTTGTACATGGGTTTTAAATTAAACACACACGTCTACATTAGTGTGTTTATGTCTCACCCTATGAGGCTTGTAAGATTTCTGTGCCAGCTGTTCCATGGCAAGTGGCACCTTCCCACTAGAGTCAGAGATCTGGGGAGAAACACTGTACCTTAGCCCAGGGGGTCTTCACTGGTTTATAGGGGGCCATTCTTTACCCTCTGTTACCCTATCCCAGTCACATGCCCATTGTTTAGAGAGATTGTGTGGGTGGGTTTTTGGATCAAAATGTTGTGGTCTTTTGACTCAAAAATGCTTCCCAATTTGAACAAGCCAGACCAGTTTAAGTTATGAGAAGTGTCAATCCAGCGCCTTTTTCTCCTTTTAGGCCTGCATGCTTGTTTTCCATCCAGATCTTGGCATTGCCCACCCCGACATAGCTGAGGAGAATGAAGTGATTATTTGTCTCGACTGCTCCAGTTCCATGGAGGGTGTGACATTCTTGCAAGCCAAGCAAATTGCCTTATATGCACTGTCCTTGGTGGGTGAGAAACAGAAGATAAATGTTGTCAAGTTTGGCTCAGGTGAGTGCCCTTTGACTGAAGTCCACAGTATGCTTCCTCAATATCAGCATATTCACGGGTAGAGGTGACATCTGTCAGCATCCCTGACTTCACCTTTGGAGTGTTCGCAAATAGCATAACACAGTGTTCAAGAACTCCTACCCGGCCCTAACTGGTTTGGCTCAGTGGATAGAGCAACGGCCTGCGGACTGAAGGGTCCCAGGTTCGATTCTGGTCAAGGGCATGTACCTTGGTTGCGGGCACATCCCCAGTAGCGGGTGTGCAGGACGCAGCTGATTGATGTTTCTAACTCTCTATCCCTCTCCCTTCCTCTCTGTAAAAAATCAATAAAATATATATATTTTAAGAATTCTGACCCAGGCCCCTGGGTTCATATCCCAGTTCTGCCACTTACTAGCTCTAGGTGTCACTTTGGGCAAGTTACTTGAACTTTTCATGCCTCTGTTTCCTCATCTGTATTTTGAGGGTAATAGTCTCTACCTCACAGTGTTGTTATAAGGAGTAAACTAATGTATGTAAAGGATTTGAAACAGGGCCTCATTCATAGTCAGTGCTATATAAACATAACAGTCATTATCAGCTAAACCAAACACAACACCGTTATGATGAGTATGAGGGTCCCAAGGATATGGACAGAATATTTGAAATTAGCACAGTAGTAGAAAATTTATAAGGAATAATCTCAGCAAGCAGCAGATAAGCCTATTAGAAGACAGGTAATGCCATTTGCAGGTGGTGGGGGGGCGGGGAGGGGGATTCAGGGCCATCTTAACCGCCAGAAGAAGGCACTTTAGAGATGAGAGAAGGACCACAGAGTGGAGTGAGAGGATATCATGTCCTGTTGGTTCTTCTCTGTTATGTAGCAGAAGGCCCAGCCCCTGCTACATGAAGGAGCCAGGGTTTGCCACTGCTGGAGGCATAGGTCATGGAAGGAGAATGTGTACCTCTGGTGGCCACACTGCCGGTGCTATAATGATACCTGCATCCAACTTTACATAAGCAATTTCTACAAGACAGTCTGCACACATAATTTGACTCAGAACCTTTTGCACAGTCAAGTGCATAGTTCGCACTAGAATTTATTATTTAAAGAAATATTGTAGTGAGTTTTTATATGTTAAAAATTATCAAATATTATTCTTTGTTAGTGGTCAATAAAGTGAATATTTAATGGTAGCACCTCACACCGATCTTATTATACAGGTTACAAGGAGTTATTTTCATTTCCAAAGTACATCACAAGCAATAATATGCCAGCTGAGTTCATTATGGTGAGTAAAGGCATTTCCCTTTGTCTCCTGATCCTGTTTCTATCCAGTTCTAGTGGTATTGCCCTGGAGATCACTGTCAGAACACCCCCAGTCCTTCCATTTTGTATGTTGGTGGGCTCTTTTATTTGACTGGTAAAATCAATATGAAGTCATTGAAGAAAATTTGGAAATTAAAAAGGGTAAAAAGAAAAAAATCACCCATAGCCCCACCACCCAGGTACAACCAGCATTAACAGTTTTGCAGTGTTTTCTTCTGTCCCTTTTTTTCTTTAAGTGGAGCAAGCTCAGAATAACCAGTCACCACTTTAGTCTAGGATGACAGGCCCAGGGGTGTTTGATGTAATAGTTCTTTGAAAACCATTAAAAAAGCAGATAATTGCCAATTAATAATATTGTAGTTACTGTGTGACATGAAATAAACTCAAAGGATGTAAATGTAGTTGTTCTACAAATGTGTAATTAGGGAAAAATACCTTTTCACTGACGATACTTCTAAACTCTCATTGAAAGACTTGTTCTGTAAATGACTAGAGTAAATAGTGAATATCCCCCAAAAGGGGTAAATAATTTTTCTCATTTCTTGCAGTCTGCCTCACCTACCATGGGAAACACTGACTTCTGGAAAACACTCCGATATTTAAGTTTACTGCCCCCTTCTCGAGGGATACGGAACATCCTCCTCATTTCTGATGGTCACCTCCAGGAGGCGAGCCTGACTCTGCGGCTTGTGAAGAGGCATGTGCAGCACACCCGGCTGTTCTCCTGCGGTGTCGGGTGAGTGGGAGGTTGTCACCGTGAAGGCCACAGTGAGAGGCAGCCTGCGAACAGGCATCTTGTTGGCCCGCACAAGGTTCTTGGCAGGTGTGACGTTGACACTTGTGTATAGAGGTGTTTAGGGTACAGCTGTGGAGCTCTGGGCTGTGAGCCAGACTGCCTAGGTCTCACCCCCCCAAGCTGGCCACTTATTAGCTGTGACCTTGTGCAACTTGTTTAATCTCTATACAATGAAGGTGTTGATGCAAACACTACTTTTTTTTTCTTTATTGATTAAGGTAAATGAACTCACGTGTAGAAAGCACTTAGACTACACTGGCTCATGGCAAGTCCCAAATCAATGTTAGTGTTATTTTGCATAAAAATCCAAATTTCCAACATATTGAGAAGCCCATGGTAGTTTCTGACGGGGGGCTGAGGGAGTCTGCTGCCTCAGAGGCCCCATCTAGCTGCCCTGCTCCTCACAACACCTTTCTGTGAGGTTTTGCATTGTCAAACCCTGAGATGTACAGAGAATCTTTCTCTGGGGAGGCTAAACCTGATTGTTGGAATTAACCCCCTCCCAATTACAGTTAGCTTTCCTGGTTGAACTGAGGTATATGGTGTAAATATAAGGAAAACACCAAACTAAAGAGGCTGGACTGGTGTTTGCACGGAACATGCCTGTCCTGCACCTCCCTGTGCTCTCCCCCTATCGTCACCATCCTGGCAAGTGGTCACCAGGTTTATCCTTCCCCACACTGTGCTGTCCTAGGCCCCTGGGCTTCTGCAGTGATCTGGGGTCCTCAATGCCCCTGGATGGCCCTTCTTGCCTGCACAGAGGGCTCTTCTCTCTGCCCCTCCTCAGTCCCAGCTCCTAGTCCTGTTCTCTGTCATCTGAGGCCTAACAGGGCATCACATTCCAACTAGGAAATGTGTGCAACCCATAATGAACTCCTCTAGGAATTGTTCCTAACAGGACTTTACCTGAATAACTTGCACCTGTGGACACTGGGTGGCCAGCCATAAGCCTGTCACAGGGAGGGGTCTTCTTCCTGCCTTAGCACTCTATTTCATCTTCCTGGTCCCAGCAATACCTGCCTGCTCCCCGCACTGTGTGTTGGGCCCCCTGTGCTGTGATCGGGTTCAGACACCGCAGTGCAGAAAGCACTGTGTCTTTGCTGAGGGTCTGTCATGGGACAGACCCAGCTCAGCTCAGGCTGCAGTACTGTGTGTGGGATACAGACAGACAGACAGACAGCAATCCAGAACCTCAAGGGGAGATGGGGTCCTAAGTGCCAGGAATGAAAGAAAGGGGTTTTGAAGGGATGACTGTGCTGGTTGACATGACCCAAACTGAGGGAGCTGGAATTGTTACTGACTTTCTATCCAGTTTTTAGGATCTTTTTAAATGTTCCTGCCTCGTTTTATACATACTCACTTGTGTTCAAAAATTCCAGCAAGATGCTGTGAGTTCTCCAGGAGTAGAGACCCTCCCGCCCGCCATTGTAACAAGTTGTCCTCAGAGTCCACCCACAGGAAAGGTTCCAAGTAGCCTCATTAACTGATGGAATTTATAAAAGACAGATAAACTCCAGCTGAAGGAGTTTTCTAATCAGTGTTGTAATCACCACCAGTTAATTTTGAGGGTTGAAAACAAATCTGATCTTTATCATGGGCTAAAAAAATGTTTCAGAGATAACTTTCTTAAGCTCTTTTTCTGAAAAGTTATTGATCATTTCTTTAATATTTCAAGAGGAAACTATTAAAGTCATTCTTCATAGGTGTAGAATTATTACCGAGAGAAATTTAATAGGACATTGTCATGTAAATGTCAGATTATCTTTGCTAGAATGAGAGTCACTTCTTTATAGCTTTTGCTATCTAGATGTGGATCAGATTTCAAGATTAGACTTTATTAATACTTTTGCCAGTTCTTGGCCTTTGGAACCAATTCAGGTAGCTTTGACACCCCTTGAAAGGAGGTTGATCTTTGTCCGTATTCTGGTACCTTTTGGGGGGTTTTCAAAATCATCTGCTCCCTCCCTGTGGTAAATCAAAGTTAAAAATTTCTGCTTTTATTCTGTTGTGAGAGAGAAATAAGCCCTCTGATGTGTGGGAGCTTAAGTTTCCCAAATCTTGTGATACTTCATACTGTCTGCCATCTATTTTATCTCCTGAACCTTAAAGAAGAGTAAATTCTTCTGCATATAATGTCTTCTTTTGAGTTTTGAACTGTGTCAACCTGTTTAACTACATGGACTTCTAAAATGTTTCTACAATTTCTTTTAAAATAATACCTGTGAAATGTGATCAGTTCCACAGCAAATCGTCATATCTTAAGGACTCTGTCCCAGTGTGGTGCTGGACTATTTGAATATTTTAACTCAAAATCCAAACATAGTTGGAAAAAACAGGTACGTTTCTCAAACATCTTATTTCTAGTCTTACGTTTACTTGTGGAAATGTTATCTTTGTACAGATCTATTGACAGTAAACTCTGTGTTTTCATTAATGGAAATGGGAGCTAGAAAGAGGCAAAGACATCAAGGTGTGCCTCCCACCCTTGGTGACCACTGATCTTCCACCTGGCAGGAGCACAGTGGGAGCAAAATTGGGTTATTCCCCTAGCTAATAGTTTGATTTCTGCTCTATAAAGTGTCATGGATTAATTTTTAAAAGTGAAGTATTAAACATGTTTTGATAAAATTAAAATTTTTTCAAACTGTAAGAGAATGTTTATTTAGAAAGTCACAGAGGTAGAAATGAGTGGCAGGAGAACTGGGCTCAGGAAACAAGCCACAGAGGCAAAAGAAGGGCCCACGGAGCTTAGGAGAAAGAGTCAAGGAAACTTGCCTTTAGGGGAGAAGTGGAACAGAGGGGAGAGGTGTGGGCATGCTCCCGGCAGGGAGAGTACCTAAAATTAATTTTTATTGTGGTAAAAGATACATAAAATTTACCATTTTAACCATATTTAAGTGTACAGCTCTGTGACGTTAAGTATATTCACAATGTTATGCAACCATCACCACTATCCATCTCCAGAACTTTTTCATCTTCCCAAACAGAACTCTGTCCCCATAAAACAACTGCTGCCCAGTCGCTGTGGCTCAGTGGTTGTGCATCAATCCATGAATCAAGAGGTCACCAGTTGGCTTCCCGGTCAGGGCACATGCCTGGGTTGTGGGCTCAATCCCCAATAGTGGGTGTGCAGGAGGCAACCGATCGATGTTTCTATCTCTCCATCCCTCTTCCTTCCTCTCTCTCTCTCTCAAATCAATAAAAACATTAAAAAACAAACAAACAAACAAAAAACAATAAATTCTGATTCTTCCTCCCCCAGCCTCTGACAACTACCCTTGTACTATCTGTCTCTACAAAGTTGACTATTTTAGATACTTCATATATTTGAAATCATACTGTATTTGGCCTTTCATGCCTGGCTTATTTCATTGGGCATAATGTCCTCAATATTCATCCATGTTCTAGGATGTGTCAAAATTTTCTTCCTTTTTAATGCCTGTATAACATTCATTGTCTATATCTACCACATTCTGTTTATCCATTTGTTTGTCAGTAAACATTTGGATTATTTTCACCTTTGGCTATTGTGAACCATGCTGCTATGAGTATTGGTATACAAGTATGGTTTGAGACCTTGATTTCAATTATTTTAGGTATATACCCAGAAGAGGAATTGCTGAATCATATGGTAATTTTATATTTAGTTTTTTAAGGAATTGCCACACCATTTGCACACAGTGGCTACACCATTTTACATCCTCAGCAATGTACCAGGGTTCCAATTTTTCTATATTATGGTCAATCCTTTTTTTCCATTTTTTGTTTTTATAATAACCATGCTAATGGGTGTGCAGTTGTATCTCACTGGGGTTTTGACATGCATTTCCCTATGACTCATGATGTTGAACATCTTTTCATGTGCTTATTAGCCATTCATGTCTCTTCTTTGGAGGATTGTCTGCTCAAGTCTTTGTAGGATTAATTTTTATAACTGGAATCTACTCCATGCCAGAGCTGTATATTAGTAATTAACTAATGCAATAATTTTAGGATGTTATGTAGATTTAAATTATGTGTTAGTGCTGTTATTAAAAATTCTACTTAAAATCTTTTTGGAAAGTATCATCCAGCAGGAAGGAGGAAGGAAGAAAGAGCTATAGGTTTCAAAGGATAGAATGTAAAGTTTAAGTGTTCAGTAACTATTTTCTGGATACAGCATTGAAAGAGAAATAATTCTTCTTTTACAAATAGATAGAAGACCAAATGACTCGGTCACGATCCCCGAGCTGCCACTCAATCTCCGTGAAGTGGCAGCAGCTCAGTCCAGATGCACCTGAGCCCCTGCAGGGCCCGGCCCAGGTGCAAGCCTTGTTCCACAATGACCGGCTCCTGGTCTATAGCTTTATTCCTCATTGTACTCAGGTAAAGAGGCACACAATTTGTTTTACTGTGGGAAGAGCAATGTATTTTGCTAGTAATTTTTCTGTTTTTACCCCTCTCTTTCTTCCCTAAATCATAATATGCTGACAAATTTTCTCTTTCTAGGAATACAACAGGTGGTTAACCAGGGCCCTGGAGAGCCTTTTAATTTCCCTTGAAAGAGAGGAAATCACTGACCAAAATACTGTGCAGTAGAGCCCTAGACAGTTTTCTCAGTGGTTAGAGCATCGGCCTGCAGACTGAAGGGTCTTGGGTTGATTTTGGTCAAGGGCATGTACCTGGGTTGCAGGCTCAAACCTTGGCCCTGGTCGGGGCACGTGTGGGAGGCAACCAATCCACATGTCTCTCACATCCATGTTTCTCTCTCTCTACCTCCCTTCCAATCTCTCTAAAAATCAATGGAAAAAATATCCCCGGTGAGGATTAATAAAACAAAACTCCAAAAAATCTAATAAGGAATTTTCTTTTTCTGTTTCAGGCAACTCTATGTGCATTAATTCAAGAGAAAGAATTTTCTGCAATGGTATCAACCACTGAACTACAGAAGACAACTGGAACTGTAAGATTCCAAACTTAAACTGTAGACCCAGTGCTTGAAAGCTAATAATAATTTTACATTTTCATATAGAATGCTCAGTGTGTTTCCTTTGTTGTTGCTGTTTTTCTATGTTGACATTTCAGTACAAAGAGGACACTTCCTGTCAGTTTCTAATGTAGCAGTTCTTCATCTGGGGTTCTTGATTTTAGATGTGTCCATATGGACATGAATAACTACAATTAAATTTAGTATTTTATGGATGAAAATTTTTTAGGGAGCTTCTCATAGATGTCCATGACTCAATAAAAGTTAAGTACCACTGGACTACCTATGTTATTTTAAAATAGTAAATAACAGTAGTAGCCTAAATAAAACATATTTATTGAAGCTATGTTTGTTTTTTCTACTTTTGGATTAAGAGCAAATGAGCCATGGCCAGGTGCTCATTGGTTGGTTGGTTGGAGTGTTAGTCCGTACATTAAAAGGTTGCTTGTGGTTCAATTGTGGGTCAGGGCACATACCTTGGTTTTGGGTTCTATCCCTGGTTGGGATATGTACGGGAGGAAACCAATCAATGTTTCTCTCTTACATCGATGCCACTCTCCCTCTTTCTCTCTCTTTCTCCCAAGTTGGTGAACCTATCCTTGAGTGAGGATATAAAAAATATATATGACATTTGAATTCTTTTTTCCTTTGCTGCTTAAACAGATGATTCACAAGCTGACAGCACGAGCTCTGATCAGAGATTATGAAGATGGCATTCTCCACGAAAATGAAACGAATCATGAGGTTTGCTCTTTTCATAGCAAAAACTATTACGTTTTGTTCATGGCTGGCTCTTTAGAAATTGACTTATCCATGGACGTGGAGAGTGAGGCTAGCTGGATGGAGGTGCATACAGTATTGAGGGCATGTATTGTCAGGTCTCGGGTGCAGGGTACTCTGTAACTTCCTGAGAACTCTGTGGTAATTGTACCCATCAGAGAAGCCAGAGGAGGGCTTCAAGGGTGTCTGTCACCGGAGCTCTCGAGTGTGATGGTCGTATTCCCCTCTTCCTGATGAAAAGCCAGGTGCAATGAGGTTAGGAGCATTAGAGCTCAGTGCCATCCCCAAAAGAAAGTACCAGAATGCCACACATGGCCCAGATTCCCTTGCAAGCAATTACAGCTTGTGATAAGTGGCCTGTGCCTTCATTGTTCTCCTTTACTGCCCTTCCATTAGCAGCCTTGAGTTTTGTTTTGCTTACATCCCTCTTATCTCTGGGGTGACTGACCAGCTCTACCACAGACAGTCCTGAGCAAGTCACTCCACCAGTCCACGCTGGAGAGTCTCATCTGGAAAACGGGAGACACAGACAGTCTATAAAAGATTTCAGAAGCTCAGCACACTCCAGAGTGAGAGTTCTTTGTAATCTACAAAGGGCTCTATAAATAGAATTATTCCTTCTATGACTTGGCGGCTCAGTGGAGTAGAGAACATTTAGTCACCAACTTGAGATATTTAGATAGGGTTATTGACTCAATATTTAGTTTGAAATTCTAATTAGGGGATGATTTGCTTTTTATAGAAAAAGTCTTTTAGATTAATTAATATTCATTTAATGAAAAATAAAATAGGACATGTTTGCATTTATTTTATTCTATCCTAGATGAAGAAGCAAATCTTAAAATCTCTAATTATTCAACTCAGTAAAGAAAACTCTCTCATAACAGAGTTTACAAGCTTTGTGGCAATTGAGAAAAGGGTATGTATTGTTGTTAATTCATGGTTATTTTCTTTGTGTTTACATATTTATTAACAAAATTACTCTTAGTCTGTCACTGACGATATCCATGTCCTGAGCCTGTGACAAACAGGGAGAAGAGAGGTCAAGGGTCATCAAGCCAGGACCTCAGTGTGAGGGCACATGGTGACCTCTCTAAACGAGATACAGTGGGGCCTTGACTTACGAGTTTAATTCGTTCTGAGACCGAGCTCGTTAAGGAGCTCATTAACTCAAATTACTCTATCAACTCAATGCAAAAAATCCGCCGAGAGACAGCTGGTATCTCAAAAAACTCATTAGTTGGGACACTCATAAGTCAAGGCCCCACTGTACATATTTTATTATTTTTAACTAGAGGTCTGATGCACGAAATTTGTGCAAGGGGCTCGGCCCTGACAGCATGGCAGCTTGCTTGGCCCTCGCAGCCCTGGCTTCGTACAGAAGGACGTCCAGAGGGTCGTTCGGCTGTCAGGTCTAATTAGCATGTTACACTTTTATTATTATAGATGATATAATTATTAATTAGTTACACGTGTACTTATAAGATTTACTACAGTTTTGTTACTTTTTTGGCATTTCTCATCTTTTATTAATCCAAGACCTTCAAAAAATAGAAAAGGCCTAGGCTTCCCCTACCCTCTCTCTGAAAAGCCCTTTCTCCTCCATAAATATAAGGCACTTAGTGCAGCACCTGAGCCTAGGAAGGGTTTAGTAAGAGGAAAGCCACTCACCCTGGCCGGTTTGGCTCAGTGGATAGAGCATCGACCTGTGGACTGAACAGTCCCAGGTTCGATTCTGGTCAAGGGCACATACCTCTGTTACGGGCTCAATCAATGTTTCTCTCTCTGTGTCTCTCCCCCTCCCTTCCACTCTCTCTAAAAAAATAAAAAATAACAACCAATGGAAAAATATCCTTGGGCAAGAATTACAAAAATAAATAAATAAATAAAAGAGGAAAGCCACTCAACTAAAAACGTCTGTCTTCTCTGCCTCTTTCTCTCTCACTTGTGGCCCAGGACACAGGATCCAATCTGACAACCACACATATTCCAAACCAAATATTCACAGGACTTTAAGATGTATAATAATCATTTCACTTGATAATAGCTGTTTTGTTTTATCTAATTGTGATTCAATATAGGATGGTAATGAGTCACCTTTTCCTAATACTCCAAATATTTTGGAACTTATTGCCAAAGAAGATGTAGATTTTCTGCCGTACATGAGTTGGCAGGAAGAGCACCCAAACGCCAGCATATCACAGGTAAATATTAATTACCACATAGATTGGTATTATGTTTTCATATTTTTATGGTGGTGAGGGGAGCCCTTTGCTAAAATAGGAACTTTATTACTTGTATATGCAGAATATATATACAAACATTTGTACATTTATAAAAATGCTGCTAATAACTGAGGAAGTCACCATCCTATATAGTAAAAGGGTAATATGCAAATAGACCAAACAGCAGAACAACTGAACAACCAATCAAAGCATAATATGCTAATGATATGCTAAGGCTGCTCAACTGCTCACTATGACGTGCACTGACCACCAGGGGGCAGTCAACTGGTCAACCAGTCGCTATGACATGCACTGACCACCAAGGGGAAGACAGTTGACCAGTTGATCAGTCGCTATGATGTGCACTGACCACCAGGGGGCAGATGCTCTGACTGGTAGGTGGTTAGCTTGCTGCTGGGGTCTGGCCAATCGGGACTGAGTGAGATGGGCCGGACATGCCCTGGAGCCCTCCTGTGGTCCCTCCCCAGCCCGATAGTGCACCGGTGGGGTCCTTCAGCTTGGCCTGTGCCCTCTCACAATCTGGGACCCCTCAGGGGATGTCAGAGAGCCGGTTTCAGCCCAATCCCGCAGGCCCCACCCCTTGGGAGGGCGCCAGACACAGGGCTCATGGCTGGCGAGTGCTGCTGCGGCAGTGTGAGCCTCTCCTGATCAGGACTGATTGGGCACAAGCCCATAGCAGGCACAGTGAGGCTGGGATGAGCAGGAGCAGCAGGTAGGAGCTACAAGCAGCGTTGGACTTCAGGTTTCGGCCCAATCCCTTCAGGCCATCCAGAGGGACCCCACCCATGCACGAATTCGTGCACCGGGCCTCTAGTATATAAATACAGCTATAAAGTACAAAAAAGGGAACAAGTATGGTTCTGCTTCATTCACAGACAAATAAACTGTCACACAGAAATAAACTGTTCACCACCAATGTGTCTTAAAGTTTATAGTGCTTTATACTGTGGCTTTTACAGCAAATTGACAAATGTGACTTAACTAAAAATTGAAAGGCATATTCAAAAGCAAAGGAACAAGACAGTGCTTTCAGGGATCCAGGTTAGAGAAATAAAATTGACAAAAATCCTAAGACAGTGATAAACTGAGAAAAAATATTTTCACCAAAGACAGATTGATTTCCTTAATATATAAAGAACTATGAATTAAGAACAAGATCAGTCATTCCAGCGAAAAACAGGCAAAGGGTTTGATCATGAATAAGAAAATAATGTGGTTCTTAAACATAAGAGAAGATGCTCAGCCTCATTGTGGCTAAGAGAAATGCAAATTAAAACTGTAATGAGGTCTAGTCTTTTATCCGTTGGGTTGACAAGATAAAAAAAAGGGAGATTATTGAAAGTAGAAAACCTGCCACACAGGGTTGTTATGAAGGGTGCAAGAATTAATGCACATAGGCCAGTAGAGCAGGCTCAGTAAACGTGAGCTGTCGTCATCATTAGAAAGGGTGTTAAAACAGGCACCCTCCCACAAGCTGAGGGCACAGGAGATCAGTACAACCTCTGTGCAGTGTAGTACAATGTCTACACAGCCCTTAAAAAGAGTTAGGTGTTGCCCGGCTGGTGTGGCTCAGTGGTTGAGCATCGACCTATGAACTAGGAGGTCACAGTTCAATTCCTGGACAGGGAACATGCCTGGATTGCAGGCTCCATCCCCAGTACAGGGTGTGCAGGAGGCAGCTGATCAACGATTCTCTTTCAAAATTGATGTTTCTATCTCTCCCTCCCTTCCTCTCTCTGAAATCAATAAAAACATATTTTAAAAAATTAAACCAATACACATTAAAAAAGTGAGGTGTCCTCATGTGCTGTTATGGGAAAACAGTATGAATAACATGTTACTCCATATGGAAAAACAAAAATTAAAGAATGGACTTTTTTTTGCTTATTTGTTCATGTCCTTATTTTAAATTTTTTGAACATTTACCCCCTCTGGGGAGAGACACTCGGAGCTGGTGACGGAACTCATCTCTAGAGAAGATCACGGGGTGACCAGGAAGTTTTGCAGGGACTTGATTGCTGCAATGCACCCTTTTGGATATTTTGAATCTTATACCATGGGCATGGATTGCCAACTCAAAAGATAAATAAACTTAAAAACAGCACACAAATTGTTGGGAGAGTGTAGTAAGGAAGGAGGTGTGTTTATGCTGATCACAATGGTAAGTTGAGCCAGACACAGCCTCACCCATAGGCACTGTATGTGTTGACAGCATCAGCATGAGGCTGCAATGGTCATTCTGGAACTTCCATATTCCATTTCAGGGAATGTAGCTCAGGGATTGTCAAAGAACAGGAAAGGGACCATGCTGAGGGACTTTGATCCTGTACTCTCTTTGTTACTCCCACAAGGAGCCATTTGAGTGCCATGTTTTGCAAAAATCGTGATGCACAACTCATAATCAACTGCATTTCTTGAACAAGACAGCCTATTGTCAAAATGGGACATTGAAAGTGTATATTTATTTTAAATATGGGTCAAACACACAAAAACAGTCTGGAGAGATATATGCCCAATGGACATTGGATATGAGAGTATCTGTGATGTTTATTTCCTTCTTTGTGTCTACCTGTTTTCTCATAGTGCATGTTATTGTTTCTAAAATTTTTAAATTTATTTTCGAAATTGGTTCTAACTTTATTTGGGTTTTACTATAGTGTGATAATGAATTATTCCATACTAATTTTGCAAATGTTTTGGATTTTTTAAGACAATGAAAAAATTTTTCAACTACAATTGACATACAATATTATGTGTACAAATAGTGATTAGTCATTTATATAATTTATGAAGTGATCACCCCATAAGTCCAGTACCCAATTGACACCATACATAGTTATTACAATATTATTGACAGTATTTTCTATGCTAAATGCTTTGGATATTAATACTTCCAGATCCAAACCTTTAGGATGAAAATTTATGTTACAAATTAAATTGATGACTTGATAGTTTATTTTAGCTACAATAATTTTTTCTGAATGAACCATCAAATTTAGCAAAAATATTCAAGCCTTTGTGACTGTCCCTCATGGTTTATTTTACTTACCAAAATGTGACATGAAAAGAATTCCATTTGGAATGATTTCAAGTTAGATCAATAACAGGCAGTCAGAGAACAGGCCCTGGAATATTCCTGGCAAAGTAAAAGATAGAGGTTTTATAAAAATAACCTCTGATCTAAGTTTTAAAGTAAGTTTTTTTAAAAAAATTCTTTGTTTAAAAGTATTACATACCTCTCCATATTCCACCATTGACCTCTCCCCAGCCACCCCCACCCCCCAGCACATGCCGTCACCCCCTAGTGTCTGTGTCCATTGGTTATGCTTATCTGCATGCATACAAGTCCTTTGGTTGATCTCTTACCCACTACCCTCCACTACCTTCCCTCTGAAGTTTGATGGTCTGTTCCATGCTTCTCTATCTCTGGATCTATTTTTGTTCATCAGTTTATGTTGTTCATTATATTCCACAACTGAGTGAGATCGCATGATATCACATAAAGTCAGTAATTTTTAAAATTCAATACTTCAACTGTTGTTAGCAACAAATAGAGTATTACGAATAAAATTAGAGCCCTTCCAGTACTATATTTCAGCATTCTCTCTGTTGAGGGCCTGCCTTGTCCCTTGTAGATGAAGGTGATTAAACATAATTAAAGATTGGGAACTCGAAGGGGGAGAGGAGCAAAGTGAATAATTTTGGTCAATCGAGAATCATGCTGGGAAGTATGACCTTATTTTTGTTAATTTAGTAAAATTGTTTCTCTCATAATCACATGGTTCAAATCCAGACAGTATAGAAGGGGAGAAAGTGAATCCTTCTAAACGTCCTCATTCGCTCAGTTCCCCTCCCCAGAGTACCCATGGTTACTGGATCCTTGTGAAATCTCTCCAGGATAGCACATACATATATGAGCTAAATGTGAATTTTCCCACATGTGTGTACTATATACAGTGTATATACTGTGCAATACCTTGGAAATATATTGAAGAACAGCTTCCTTATTTTTATGGCTGAATAGCATTATATCATATGGATGTGCTAGAATTTATTTAGCCAAGTCCTTTGTCAATGGACTTTAAGTTTATTTCATGCCTGTAACAAACTGTGCTACAGGAATAACCTTCATGTGTGTTATTTCCCATGTGTTGTAGTGTATTTGTAGGAGATATTTCTAAAAGCAGACTTCAAAGGCCAGAGAATATGTGCATTTTAAATTTTAAATAGTGAGGAAAACTCTGCTACTGACCATGAAGGAGTAACAGGATGCAGTTAGGAAGTGGATGTATTCTCCCACCTTAAACAACATATATATATTTGATTGGACAAAATATATGAACTGGTGGCTTTTGGATAGAGCAGAACAGTGATCCCTTAGAGAAGAAAACAAATGAATTGAGTCCTATATTGTTAGCTCACTACCTGGGAAGAGTCCCCAGCCAATAGCCCAAGGATGTTAGATCCCAAAACAGCCTGATAGTGCCTCTGAGTGAGGGGGACAGAGTAAGTGGGGATCAGGGAGACCAAAGTGGCTAAGGTTAAGAGGTAAAGCACTGGCATAGAATGGGCTCCAGGGACCTGTGGAGGGTTCCTTTCTAGTCCTTGGCTGAGGCCTGATTAGGGTATGTGGGAAGTAAAAATCAAGGCTAGAGAAAGAACCATAAGAAAGGAGAAGTTGGTAGAGCAATCATTATGAAGCTCACACAGGGTCAGAAATGGCTTGCATTCCCACAGCCTATGTGGAAAGATTTCCATACAGAGCTCCCAGAAGGCTATTGACCTAGTCAAAGTGCTTTACCAAAGGATCTAGACCAGCCGTGGGCAAACTACGGCCCGCAGAGGAGGGCAGTTGGGGGGTACTGGGCCTGCAGGGGAGCAGTTAGGCATTGATCAGGCTGGCAGGGGAGTGGTTAGGGGTGATCAGGCTGGCAGGGGAGTGGTTAGAGGTGATCAGG